GGTGTGTTGGGAGTGGATGAATTTTCTGGTCTCTGCCGATGTTTCAAACTGAAAACGAATAGGACAACACTTTTCATGTTGAATCTTCTTCAGCCTATAGCACTTAGTCTTGGAGTTAGGCATTTTCGCCTCACTAAGTAAGATGCGCTGTACCTTTTTTAGTGCCTCATTGTCCGGAACGTTGTAGACAATAGCACTCAGCTTTGCATCGAGTCACTTTGATACTTCTGCAGTAACGAAGTTAATGACGTTATCTACCTTAGTTACTGATCCTGTGTCAAGTTTGTTAGGGTTTACTGTTTTCATGAGGGTAGTTAGAGGTATCAGTTCACAGACCTGCGATCTGATATCGCTGATCTGATCTAATAATTTGGATATCTTGGTATTGGTTTCAATATTTCCAGCATTTACTGACTTACTGTTTATTATTTCCCTTAACTCAGCCTTAAGTTCTCCTATAGAGAACTTTAGAAGTTCTATTTCTGAAGATAGTGCTGAAAAAGAGCTTGATGGCCGGAGTTTTTCGATAATCACATAAGGTGTAGGGAGGGGTTCTGCATGATCAGAGGGTACTGAATTTTTAGGAGTAGTGCTTATACTAGCTGTCAGTACAGTTTTATCCTCAGTTCCAGCTCGACGCTTACGGCATACGAGTGAGTTATGTGACTCACTATGACCGTTTGTAGGGGGTGTGTTGCTTGATGTAGCAAACAAGGACGTTAAATTAGTCGCCAGATTTACAGGGGATTGGGTTCGTTGCTTTTTACTCTTATTAACCATAACTATTTGAAATGAGAGTTAAAGGTTATAGGTATGGAAGTAGTATAGTACTTGTGCAAGTAATACAACAAAATAAATTTTATGTAACGAATCACGCAAAAATGTAACGCAAACGTTGAACGTACCGCTAGGCAGTATTGACCATGTAGTTATCACTTTTATGTTCAGGATTCACGCTGTCATACATAGATCAACAGCGGCTTGTCCAAACGTTTGGAAAGCGAATGCACCTGCAATCCGAAATGCAGCAACCTTAGCTGACTGGTTTGTTTATACACCAGACTGTCAAGGAGGCTTGGCTGGGATTTAGGAATACACTAGATTGTGTCACTGCATCCTTTGTACCTTGGTTTACGCCTCGAAAACTATCTCATAAGTCACCTTGGATTATTAATGAAATAAGGAGGTCGTTAAGAAAACGAAAGAACTTATGGGACCGGTTTGCTGTGACTGGGAGTGCTGAGTTTTAAATGCAATACCGCAAAGTATAAGATTGACAAACGTCGTATAGGGTATGAGAGACAGTTAGTACTGGATTGTGTGCATTGTCCAAAAAGACTGTACTCGCATATCAAACGCAAAACTAAAACTATCAGTGGCATACTGTGCCTCATAAGCAACAGTGGAGAGGTGGCCGGGTCAGACTAAACAAAAGCTGAAATGCTCTCGCAATACTTTCGCGATGTTTTCTTGCCTAATCGTACCACTCACAGGTGTAGCGAGGTCACTAATATAGCCACTAAAATGCGGTGGTTCTCAAACTGCTGTCTAAGCTGAAGCCATGTAAAGCGCCTGGACTCAATGGACTTCACCCTAGACTGCTAATATCCTTGGTGGATATAACATACATTCCACCTACCGAAAGGCTACCTGGGGACTGGAGAGATGCATTTATAGGCCCCATATTCAAAGAGAGGAGCAGTTAGTATCTAACTACCAGCTTGTAAGTCTGACCTACATTATAGCAAAGGTGTCAGAAAAACTCATAGGGGATCAGCTCTTAGCTCATATGTAAAACTAGCAGTGGAACAGCATGGATTTCGACCAGGACGATCCTGCTTGACAAACTTACAGTCAGACAGGGAAGATTGGGTAGAGTCCAGGGACGAGAACCATCTACTGGACGTTGTCCTTATCGATAAGGTGTCCCATTTAGATCTTCTTAGTAAACTTAAACGTTTTGGTTTAGCGACAACTTGATGGATAGAAGGTAGAAGGTAAGGGTTAAATGGTGTACTGTCAAGTTTGAAAGGAGTACTAAGTGGAGTACCTCAGGGAACTGTACTTCGCCCCATGCTATTCCTATTAGACGTAAATGAAGTGCCGAAAACTCTTACCTCATCTTCCTTCCTATTTGCGGACGATATAAAGATATGGAAAACCGTAAATAGTAACGACGATAGGTTGGTACCATAAAACGATCTAGATAAATTAGCTGAATGTGCTAGCCTTTGGAGTTTGGAAATTAATTGCAAGAAAAGCGCGGTAATGCACCTAGGTCAGAATTCTTACACGCCGTACTCAATGGGGGAGATAGAACTACCAGATGCTAGGGGACAAAAGGGCTTAGGAATTTTTGTAAGCCATGACTGAAAAACAACAGTGAGTTGTAATGGAGCGACAGCTAAGGCTTTTCAAATCCTATGGGCACTTCGGAAGGCTTTCAAACGATTAGACAGGTGTACGTTCCAAGTACTCAATGCAACATATGTTAGGGCTTATCTAGAACACCGCATACAAACGGTGAGTTCATGTTTCATAAAGGAAGCACATATCCGGGAAGGGGTACAGAGGGTAGAAACCAAATCAGTCAGTGGTATCTCACACCTTCCTTATGATAAGAGGATGGAGCACTTAAATCTCTTCCCATTTTCATACCGAAGCAGGATAGACCACTTAATTTTGACACACCGCATATTAAAGGGTGATTCAGGGATGTACCCTTCAAACCTTTTCTTTTTATCTAGGATACATTTACTAGGTCACCACAAGAAGGTGCTCAAACCGAGGTCGAATAAAATACGTGTGGAATTTAGACTGTCTCACAGAGTGGGCAACAGCTGGAAGTAGTAACAGCTCAATCGGTGGACGCTTTCAAAAAATACTGGATCTCTGTAGAAATATATATCGCGAGGATTAACATAGGCAACAAGAGCCTCCTATCCCAATAATCTGAATCTGAATCTAAAAGTCACAGTCTCCAGGGGCTACTATCAGATGAAGTAGCGTCACTGCATACAATCGACCTATTCAGGAAGTTTTAAGCTAACGCAGAAACCTATCAGAACAGGATTAAGGTAGATTTCAAGCTTTCTATCGCCAGTCAATAAACATAGAATATCTGAAACTCCCTTACACTCCCTTGATGTAGGGAAACTTCCATGTGAATGGAAACGTGCAATCCTATCCCCTATCTTCAAGGGTGGTGACCGGCAGAATGTGACCAGTTACAGACCAGTTGCTCTACTTCCAGTGGTATCGAAGATATTGGAAAGTCTCATTGACGACCACATGAGAAAATACTTCGATGGGACTAACCTTCTTCACGAAGCACAGCACGGTTTCAGGAGGGGAAGATCCTGCGTGACGAATCTTCTACTAGCCTGGAACGATTGGACACTATCCTGGGACAAAAAGGTACCAGCCCACGTGATCTTTCTCGACTTTGCGAAAGCATTCGACACAGTTCACCATGGTCTGCTCCTTCACAAAATAGGCAAGGCGGGAGTTTCTGGAGCACTTCTCGCATGGCTGAAAATTACTTAGGCGAGAGAGAATTCTGCACCAAAGTCAACCGCATCCGATCATCCTGGCACACCTCGGCATCAGGGGTTCCTCAGGGTTCTATCCTAGGGCCGTTGATGTTTTTGATTTTTATCAATGACCTGCCCCCCCAACTAAACTGCTCTGCGCTTCTTTACGCTGACGACGTAAAGATTTGGAGAGCAATAAACTCATCGGAAGACTCAGATAGATTGCAGGCTGACCTGCAAACTCTGGGAAATTGGGCTTTGGCTAACGGAATGCCTTTCAATCTAAAGAAGTGCAAAGTAGTGCAGCTTCATTCCGGCAGGTCACAGAGTGTAAATTACACCCTTGGTGGCCAGAACTTGAGTTGTGTTCCATCAGAGCGTGATCTAGGTCTTATTCTAACAGAAAAGCTAGACACCAGTGGAAATTACTCGAGGGACGTCGCCAAAGCCTACGCAACATTACACTTTATGCACAGGCAGCTGGGAGCTCTCACTCCCGAACTGTTCTTAAGGCTATACAAGGCATATGTGAGGCCACACCTTGAGGTGCATAATATCATTGCACCTCCGCTACTCAAAAGGGATGCTAACATTCTAGAAAGTGTCCAGAGACGAGCGACAAAATGGGTGATCGGCCTCCGCAACAAATCATATGAGGAAAGACTAAAGAAATTAGGTCTTTTCACACTCAGTTACCGTAGGCACAGGGGAGACCTCATCACCGTCTACAAGATCCTAAATGACCAGGCCCACCCAAATAAAAGCATCCTGCCATTAAGCGATTATAGGCTTCCACGAGGTAACCCGCTAAGGATAGCACACCAGAGACCAAAGACTCGAGTGCGATCACATTTCTTTTCGCTTCGTGTTTGCCGTCTCTGGAACGCTTTACCGGCGGCCGTGACTACAGCGCCATCTCTGGAGATTTTTAAGCGGAAGCTAGACAATCATGCAGAAATGCAAGGTTTGTGTCTCAATGGCTTATCCTCATAAAATTTGAAACCAAACTGTCAATGAATAAGCGTACTAACTAAATCCCCACGACCTATTCTGCCTTCTCTCACTCTATCTTTTCCTTAGGTCACCTTTATTATTCCACTTATCTCAACCTATATTATCTACACTACAACCTATTATTATTATTATTACTATTCTGCTTTTATGACTACACCGAATGACCAACGGGAGTTAGGTCAAACTCCATTCACGGCAGCAATACAGTCCTAACATACTGCATACTACAAACCACATCTCGACCAATCCCCGCACCACTCCTCCTGGAGTCTACCAGAGCTAAAGCAGTCGAGTGTCGGGACTTACTACGCAGAAGCTCACCGAAGATCTGGAACCTCTACCTCACAATCAAGAAGCGAGCTCAAAGAAATCACTGGTTTATACTAGCTCGTAATCAGGATATTGGATATTGAAACTCCCGGTTGAAGGTCATGCATAAGCGGCTGCTTAAAAATGCGTCTGCGACTGAAATTTCTGAACAAATTTCATGTTTACGAGACGAGTGTAGCTGATCCAACAGTCATCGAGCTTCTGGAGTGCACCTCCAAAATTTTTGGCTTAAGAAAGTAGGTTTAGATTATTCATCATACAGTCTGGGGTTAAGATTATTAGTAACTCGTAGTTTTACTACTACCTGTTCCCCTTTGTTTTACTTTTCTGCCTACTCTATCTATTCATTCACTTATATCATTCATACATATATATATATACAGAGATTTCACTATCTATCTGTTAACGGATAAGTATAAATTTATACGTTTAATTTTTCGAAAAATTAAACATATGAATTATGTGAACTTAGATCTAAGTTCACATAATCTGCAAATATATATATTATTGATAGTAGATAATAATAGTAATTACTATCTTGAGATAGTAATAATAGGAAGGAGATCTCTTTTCCACCACACCGGACGACTAATGAATTGAAGGATCAACTCCATTCTCAGTAAAGACATGGTTTTAACCTACCGCATATTACAATATGCACCTAACCAATCCCAGCACCGTTTCCCCTAGAGTCGATCAAAGTTGTAACAGTCGAGTGGTGGGATGAACCACACAAAAGTCTTCCGGAAAGCAGGAACCTTTACCTTACAACTAAGAAGCGAGCGCAAAGGAATCAATTTAGTTTACACTACCTTGTAAAACCATAGTGGATATTTAAAAATACTTATGGACACAATTAATGCTTCGTCATTTTTAAAAAACCGTAGTATGCTTAGCAGTTTGTCTTTACCTGGCTATTGTTCATTTGAATGGAGGAGAATTCGTAGCAACTATTGTATATCAGTGTGTGCAAATATCTAATTTTGTTTTATTCCTTTACGTTCCGAGAAATGGCATAATAAGGTGAGCAATATTGAGGTTAGGCGTCGAGTAAGTGCTAGGTAAACAGGGGAAATCAATCGACGAAGTTGTAAAGTTACATAGACTGAGATGGTTAGGATATGTGGTACGTATTCCTAGTCATCGCCTTCCTCGACAATGGGCAATGTTAGCGGATATAGGGTCAGGCTGAAAAAAAGCTAGCGGAGGTCAAACCAAAACATGGCACCAATCAATGAAATCGCCAACAATTAGTGTAAGCCACGTAGGAAGGTGTAGACTTCCTGACTGGCTGGTTGGGGTCCTCGGAACGGTAAAAACAAATGGTTGGGAACAATTGGTGACATGGCTCAATATCGTTCTCAATGGCTGGCACAGATTCATCCACTCCCTGTGATTTATGATTTCCAATTAAACTATGTTGTTCTTCGTTATTACTATACCTTTGTCTCACACCTCTATTTACTGTCTCTCTATTATGCCTTTCTTCTACTTTCTTGTCTTGATTTGTGTGCTACATGGAGTGAAGTGTGGCGACTTGAACTGGTGCACATATATGCAAAGTTCTATGTCGAAAACAGACAGACAGTTCCGAGAAGAACATAGAGCTTCAAGAGTGAGCTTTGAAGTCTCAATAGTAGTGGAGTTATTTTTACGTGACAGATTTGTTAGATTCATGCCCGTAGACATCTATTTATACGTCTTTATAAAGTCTCCTGTTGACCCACCGAGATTGTTCATGCACGGGCCTCCGTCTCTCATGTGTGCAGGATAATGTCTGTCATTTTCAGTAGTATGCTATTGAAATTTTAAGTTATCTTCAAGATGGAATATTAGGGGAATGCTTCATTACATTAACCTGCCACAGAAAACCCCAGATTTACTTGAGAAGGATTCTGTGGAATATATTTCTGTTTCAAGAGCATGGCATTTTCTTGGATGTCATTTCTTCTTCATGAAGTTTGTGAACCAGGTGTTATTTTCATGTCACTTATTTCTGCATCGCGTGTACATTCAAATCAATCCCCTCGGTAAAATAATCAGTTATCTTTGGTAGTTTCCGGAGCATTTGTATTAAAAAGTGAGTATACCCAGTTTTCTTCAAATTATCACTATTTTATCTTGAAGAAACACAGTTTAAGAAAACTGCTGCTCTGTATTTAAGTGAGATGCTGAAATTTCAAGGGATGTTGCTTTTAAGTCAATCTATAGCATCTTTCTGTAAGATAATAATGGAAATCCTAGCCAAAATAGATAAAATGTCTAAGCCAGTAAAATAAGTACTACAACTAAATTTGGTAAATTATAGAAATATCGACAAGGCGCTTTAAAAGTCTCAAAATATGAAGTGTAGAAGTTGCTAAGCATATTTGATATTCCTGTCCTTATGGAATTAATGCTGCTTACATTCAGTCTGTCATCGCTGGCTTCAAATAAATTTAAGGTGGATTCCGTGGAATGTCTTGAATATAATTGGAAGGTTGTTGTTCCTGTCGAGGTATCTAAACATTCTCCTCACTTATGTGGGATGAGCACATTTTTGCTATGTCAGCTATTGTTATATTAAGATTATAAGTTTCCAAACCGTAGATGTTACAAACTTCCTGGAATAATTTGAGCGCCGAGTCAGATTGATTCATTATAAATTATTTAAATTAATCCCAGTGTGTTTAAAAAAAATCAAAACAAGATCTGTTTTCTGAACGTTTCGCTGTGTAAGCTTCCATAGCTTCTTCAGCAGAATTATTCGGATTTTATTAATCAAAATATATAGTCAAAATGTTTTACATAAATTGAAGTCAGTTTATTTGAAAGCCAGTTGTCTATGGACATTTGTACCAATAGAAATATGCAAGCAGTCATCATATATTTGTAATGACTAATGTCAAATTGTTATTGTGTATATTTTTTGTATGCGTGTGTGTGAGTGTATTTTATTTGTCATATGGAAAAGATGTCAGTTCACATGTAATAAACATCATAATACATTTTTTAAAGGTCACGGAGGCTCATAGAGGTTTTTGTTTTTTCATTTGTCTTGCTTCATTAGAATCTGCCATATAGGGAATAAGTCTATCTTTTCTTTCCTATTTACTGCATTCGATGTGGCTAATATGTGCAAGGCTTCAGAGGTCAACCTTTCTTTATGTGAATGAAATCCTCTTCCAAGAATTTCAACATTGTCGAAATCAATCCTATGTCTGCTGTCTATCGCATGCATTGCCATAGCCGATCTTTTCTCTAGACTTTTTAATTCTACTTCATTTCTAGGTGGACGTTTCGTGCAAAGTCTATGTTCATTCACTCTGACCTTCACCTGCCTACTGCTCTCCCCTATATAACAAGCTTCACATTCCGAACATTTTATCCTGTTGACACAATTACTTTGTGACATTTTGGGAACTATATGCTTGACATGCACCAACGCTTTCTCCAGATAATTAGAGAGGGCTTGAAATAGACTTTATTATCATATGAAGCAAATAGTCTTTGAAGTTGTTCAGCTGTGTCCTGTCGATATGGATAAGTGACCTTCAAATAAACTGACTTCAATTTATGTAAAACATTTTGACTACATATTTTGATTAATAAAGTCCGAATAATTCTGCTGAAGAAGCTATGGCAGCTTACACAGCGAAACGTTCAGAAAACATCTTGTTTTAATTTTTTCTTAAACACGCTGGGATTAATTTAAATTATTTATGATAATGTCATACTGTTTACAGGAGTATATTCTTACTGGGTTATTGCTCTCAGATTGTAGGGTTGTACTCAAACTACACGTTACTTCTACCACTTAATTTTACGCCTTATTGTATACAAAATTACAATCCCAAGCAGAAAATTAAAGTATAAATGAATTAAGGAAAGAGATGTTGTCTGCAAAACTAAACAGATGGTTTCATGATATAGCATCCATGAAACAACCAAAATTAATAGTTAAAACTATGGAAGATATTTCTTGGCATCGATTGTACTTTTAACTATGCCTTCAACCTCAAGAATATTGTTTCCCTCCTTGTAGTATGACTTCCTTGGGAGCTAATGTTCTGTTTTTTGCCTTCGTTAATGTTTTTCTTGTTACATTTTCCTTGAAGTCTTAGAATAAATATGTGAGAACCAGAATTAGTGGACACCCATTCCAGATCACATGTGATATCTATCTAATTAGATGAATAAATAGTTTAGTCTTAGATGGCAGTGCATAGTTGCGGCCAAGGGTAGACACATAAAGACTAAAAGTTGTAGTTGTTTTGCATCCGACTGCACAGAGAGATGCACCATACAAAATCCCTTACTTTTTTTGGGGGGGGGTTGAAATACTGTCCAGACTGGAGCAGATATTTGTCTTAAGAGATCACCCTGTCCCGAGCCTTTGACTTAAAATTTGATCAATGAGATAGCGGATCAGCGTCAGGAGTTACGTTTCTATGGTTTGTGGTAGCCAAGACAGGTTGATACGCTGTTCGGTCTCTTCCAATTCTAAAGCCCATGTTCACTATAGATTTGGAATCAGAGTTTTACAGCCTTCCTACTGGGTGTAGACCTGCGTATCCACCAATCCGGTTGTAAGCGCTAGACGTTTGCATTCATCCTTTCACTTTTTGTGATGAACACCTTCGCCACATGAGGATAGTGAATAAGACTTATCTGTCAGAGGTTATGAACGCACGTGGTCATATAAGAGAGCACTTTTAGAGGAAGACTGGAGTCTATCAACTCTTAACCATACCAGATCATTTATTGATGGCAACTCGAATATGCTTATTCATCCTTTGAATAACTTCACAGCTTTTTTATGCACGAAACACTTCCGAATAATCCTTTGTCAGATCGTGTGAAACTAGCAGATATATGTGGAAGCTTAAAATAAGTAACGCGTATTGGTATGAAATTGAAGGTAGGCAGGAAAACAATTCAGTTGTATACCAATACAAATAAACAAATGTGTAATGTATACGCACAAGATGAAATGTCATACGTCAGGAGTGCGACAATGCAATATTTATGAATGTATAGATTTCGCAACAGTCCAAGGGTAGCAATAGTAGCTGGTTGGACCTATATCATTTGTACGATTTATTTTCGAACAACACATTTAAGCGAACAATATTGTGCTTTCAATTAGATCTCATCAGGCTTAACTGTAATATACCCACAAAACTTTACAAATAAGAATTCAAATATAAACCAATCATGGTGTTTTGTCTATAGGATAATAAGATGGTGACTATAAATTGTGCAATTAGTCATAATAGTAGTAATGATAATATTAATAAGAGTAATAATAATAATAATGGTCTTATTAGTAATAAGGATGGAAAAGTGAGGTAGTGTGTGATAACAAGAATAATGAAAAACAGCATGATTAAACAAACAAATGTTCAGGTGGAAGTAGTTGATAAAGGCTAATAAAAACAAATGAACCGATTACGCAATGTTAGATTGTAAGGGAAGGAAATGAAACACGTTTATAATGAATATGAGATAAGATTAAGGGATGATAAGAAAGGGGTTGAAAATATAAACAAGGAGTGGTGTAGAAGTCATTAGTTGGTTATGTCTTAATAGACCAGCAAGGCAAGGATAATGGTTGTACGAACTTCTTTTGAATGCATAGTTTAGGTTTAATAGTTCGAATGCCTATCGCCTGCCTCAGCTGTGTGCAGTAGACGAATACGAAGTCTATTGGATAGATTCGTTGATTCTCCACTACATGACCACTATCAATTAAATGTGACAAAATCGAGGTACGGATTGTTTTTGTCTGTCCTTTGCCAAACCACGATGGGAGATGTTCAGTAGTGACACGTTGGCTAAGCTGTCTAGTAGTACACCCAACATAACTGTCATCGCAGATGCATTGAATTGATAAATGCACATAGATTTGGCAAAACTATCTAGCCTGTCCTTCGTTTGCGTCCCAATCATTCGTTGACTAAAGAATGACAAACACAGGTGTGCTGCGTAAAATGTTGTTCATATACTCTTTGAAAGTCTTTGGAATAAAATCTCACTTGATAAGTCACCATTAAATTGTAACTCAATAAATAGAGGTTTCTTACGTGCAGTCAGAGTCTCAGGTTTTTTCTCGGATGTTTTCATGTTTCTTTATGAAACTACTTGGATAGCCAGCCCATCTCCGTCAGGGAATCGTGAATATATTCAATATATTCAGCAAATTACAATAGCCTCTGCTGTTTGGAGTATTCGGCAATTAGAAGCTATTGGTAATTTATTCAGTACCGGATACATGCTTAAAAATCTATCCGTTAATGTTAACTGTACAGCCGTTTGGGTGAGATAGTCCTATGTCGAACTGTTGGTGGTTTTTACTACTACAACATCTTTATTTAATCACACACTGACAGGTGTTCCTGAGCACGAAGAGCTAAATTCCTAGAGCGACAACGACTAATATAACTGGCTGCATAGGTGGCTAGCCTAGGTACTTCGTCGTTCAGTTGGAGATTGACAGCCGGTCGTGTGGGAAATATGAGCTACAGCCAATCTGCAGGTATTTAAGAGCACTTTAAATCGATTTTCTCGCTTGGTATGTCACATTTGAATTGCAGTCACACATACAAAAGCTTTTTGTTTACAGATAGGGAATAATTCTTTTCTAGTCTCTTGGCTATGTGTTTCATCATGAGCATTTGTCGACAGCTGTTTTCAGTTAAGGTTCCACATTATTTTTTAAATTTATTTTGTTCCTTTAAGTTTCGAGTGAAATATAAGGCTTTAAGCCAGAGCTTCGGAATTTCTGTAACAGTGGTGTTTATTTTTACGGGGTGGGGTTGCTAGCCTCATGTCTAATCTCCCCTTTCTTACCGGCCTTAATACTTGCTTGGTAAGGTTTTTTAGGAATGTGTCGGCCGAGGATCAAACCCTGGACCACGTGTGGCGTGGTTGACGCGCATTCTACCATTGAACAACCGATGCATACACGGCGTCATATGTATTCATAAATTCATCTTAAACACCTGTCCATCAGGACATCTGGAAAGTTCTAGTACCACCGCGACGGCGAATAGGAAAGAATAAAGAAAACTATAACAGCTGTTTCACCCTAGTTTGGGAATCATTGGCACTACGCACCCACACTATGGGGTTCCAACCCAGGACCTTCTGACTACAAGGTAGGCTCGTATAGCATTCAACCATTGGAACCCGATTCACTGGCCACTACATGAATTCTAACTTTACCGATTCGTGATTTAGCGCGACCCCAACCATTGTCGTAGGTGGGATATCCATCCTCACATGTGACATTTGGATGGACCTGACTGGTCACGACTTCTCACTAGAACTAACTCCAGAAAACTCCATCCTGCAGCAAGTCACTAGCGAGCATCAGATTAATTTTCTATAGTTTGGTTTGTAAGGGTTAATTTTGTTTTTTTACGAGTTGATCAAGGATTGATATCATCAGTTAGAGAGAGAAGCGTTGAAAACCAGCCACAGGGATTACTGGACAGCGAGCTGTTTCATCAGCCTAGTTTGGGAATCATCTGAAGTACGCACCCACACTTATGGGGTTCGAACCGAGGACAATGGTTGGGGCCGCGCTAGATCACGAATTGGTAGAAGTTAGAATTCATGGGCTGGCCATTGAAGAATCGGGTCCCAATGGATGAATGGTATACGGGCTTGCCTTGTGACCGGAAGGTCCTGGGTTCGAACCCCATACCAACTAGGTTGATGAAACAGCTGGCTGTCCAGCACACCCTGTGGCTGGTTTTCAATGCTTCTCTCTCTAACTAATGATATCAATCCGTGATCAAATCGTAAAAAACATAATTATCCCTTTAAAACCAAACTATGAAAAACTATAACACACAAGTTTCAAAGTCGTGTGATTATAATTGGTTATATGATTGTAAACAATACTAGATAGTGTTCATAACTCTGTCATCCAGTAAATAGTAATAATGTTTCACTCACTGTGTAATATATCTCATAAACAAATTAATGTGGAATTACTTACTACCACAGTGTGGTCAAACCAAAACATGGCACTAGTCAATGAAATCTACAACAGTTAGTCTAAGCCACGTAGTAAGGTGTAGACTGGCTTCCTGGTTGGGGTCCTCGGGACGGTAAAAACCAATGTTTGGAAACAATTGGTGACATGGCTCAAAATCGTTCTCATTGGCAAAGATGCATCCACTCCTCGTGATTTATGATTTCCAATGAAACTGTTTTGTTTTTCGTTACTACTATTCCTTTGTCTCATCTCACACCTCTGTTTACTGTCTCTATTATGCATTTCTTCTGTTGCTTTGTGTGCTACAAGGAGGAAGTGTGACGACTTGAACTGGTGCACATATGTGCAGAGTTCTATGTCGAAAACAGACAGACAGACAGACTACCACAGTGCCCAAGTTTTACGCACACGTTAATATTGTTCGCTTATGTCTTGTTCTAATATATATATATATATTACAATCCACTAAAATTTTCTTTATTTGCATGTAAATTTGTTTGATTTCGTATTTTTATCTGTAGAGATAATGTTCAAATTAGTTTAAATGCTAAAGATTTTTATGATTCAAGTGATTCACATCCACGTCTGTTGTCTGAACTTGGCGTTGTCAATGGTGACATTATATACATTCGTTCATTGGAAAAGTTAGATGATATTAAAAAGTCATTAGAAGCTGAAGTATGTTGCACTATTCTAATTCTATTGATCATCATCATCATCCTAAAAATCAATAAATAGTTAGCTGATCCCATATTTCGATTAGCAAATGAATTGATTACTTCACAACAGTACTCTTCGATTTATTTTCTAGCTATACCACTTTATGTATTTGCATTTGACAAAGGATTGAATGTAAGTTGCCTCTGTTTTTGCCTTGAAAATTTTATCCGTCTTTCTTTCCGCATCCCCCCCCCGCACCCGTTGCTCCCCTTAGAGTGTAGATAGCATAAATGAACATTATCATCAGAGAAGTATATCGACAATTGTCCGATTGGTATTCACTTATCCTCAAGTACCTAACAGAGTGGTATTCAGTTTATATCAGAATGGAAATTTATCTATTATTACAGGTAGATTTAAATTAAATATCCCTCCTTTTTCTTTTACTAAACAAGAAAATTATTATTATTATTATTTCCTTTAATTCCTATAGGCACATAGGGCTTCAGCCGCACATCTCCTTTGCATTCAGTTCTCTGCTAGAATTTTCACCTGGCTCCAAGTCTGTCCTCCACATGCATTCATCTCCTCTTCACATGACCCTCCTCCAAGTCACCTCAACGTCGCACTGACGACCAACTTGCCGCTTCCCTTTCGGGTTCTACTCGAGCAATAGCTTGTCTAGTGATGTCACTCACTTGATGGTTTGTTTTCTCAGAGTATGGCCAGCCAATCCACCTACCTCCATTTCTTCCTGCCTATTTGTTGCACAATCGGTTCCTGGTGGATTGGTTTGCTCCCAGAAAAATATATTTGTTTAAGTTTGTAGTTTTGTATTTCCCTCCTGACGAAAAGCGACAAACTTGCAGAAAAGGTAGGCAGGCAGCCAAAGACAGGACTTTAAGGGAACATGTGGAGAGGTTGGAGGTGATAAAGATAACCAACAAGCACTAATCGCTATCCGTTCATTTATCTAAGAAACATCCTTTCAACTACAGGTGGAGGGAGATATCAACGCCTGCCAGGATCGGGAAAGGAAAGCAAACTTTCATTACTCTGAAACCAGTCTGGAAATCTATCCCTTTCTTGTATTCTTAGTTATGATTCTGAAGTCGGTGGTACAGTGGTTAGGACTCTCGCCGACCATGCGCATGGTCCAGGGTTCGAGCCCGCACCGACGCACACCTGATATCTATGGTCGGCCTGTAAAATTTGGGCTACCGATATCCATGCTGAAAATTCCATACTTGTACCAAAAATACAGTGTGGAATCTAGCTGTAAATCAAAAATCAAAAAAAGTCTGGTAGCGTTGTGCCACGAATACCATCTCAAAAGATTCGGTACCGGTCTCTGTTTGCTAGCCCTAGAATGGGATGGAAAAAGCAGAGAGAGAGAGAGGTGGTTAGCCCATGTCTTGGCGTTGTCGTGGGATGAAGTGTCGGTTGGTACATCACAACTCCTTGACTGGGATTCGAAAGATAGCCTCGAGTCTCGGTGATGGCTCGAAATGTTATCGGATATGGTCGAGAATCACAATCATTAATAGCGAATGTGCTAACACACTAATTCGACGAATGCTGTTTGGTCTTGTTAAATATAACTGCTTCCCTTCCAGATGAAGTCCTTTATTCATTCTGTACTTATTTTTTTCATATGTTTTATTATAATTATGCGGCGCATCTTCTGGACGCCGAACCATACTTGGTTTTGTGTATAGCATATTATAGTACCGTCTAAAGGTGTAATTTACTGAAGCTTCGTATCCTTAAAACCCTTAGATAGCACATTCTAGCTCATAACTTTATCTATTCTTAGGTGATGGACAGACAAGTATCTTCACTCTTCACTCTACTGTTTATATCCCCCATAAATGACATGGTTATGGCTGATAGTGGTTAGACACCAGTCTTGTTTTCAAAAATCTTTCAATGTAGCTATGCATTCATAACCTCTACTAGTGTTAAGTCGTGTTCATCACCTCCACAAGGCCTGGAAGTGTACCTCATCGAGTCTACCTAGGGAAGCTGAAAAACCCACATTTCAAATCTATGTGGTCTACATGAGGTCCATAATTCAAAATGATTGAATAGTCACTGGTAACCATAGGAACACTGCCCCACAGTGTCCCTTGTAGATTCGATTTCAAGTCAATGACCCAATGAATGGTCCTTTAAAACAACCACCTAACCTTTAGTCTATCCGTTGGGGCAGTTAATACCTCAGCCGTTGCATAAATTATAGAACAGCTTAATGCTACAAATACTACTACTACCACTGCTATGTACTACTTATTTCCTATTTATCTTCTTTTTAAGGCAGTGTTCAATCTCTTCCTGTACGAAAACAGCTTATTCTACTGACAAAGGATTATCTGATTAATCAAAGTTTAATAGACCAATGTAAGTGTATCCTTTTACTGAATATAACGTTTTCATTTGCCTCCATTTCTGTTTTTACGAGTTTGATGACGGATTGATATCATCAGTTAGAGAAAGCGAAGCATTGAAAACCAGCCACACGGAGTACTGAACAGCCGGCTGTTTCATCAGCCTAGTTTGGGAATCATCAGCACTATGCACCCACACTACGTATGGGGTTCGAACCCAGGACTTCCCGAATACAAGGCAAGCTGGCTCATATACCATTCAGTCAGTTACTGGGACCCGACTGTTCAATGGCCAGCCCATGAATTCTAATTTCTACCAATTTGTGATGCATTTAGCGCGACTAGCACCAACCAATGACATTCGTGGGACCTGGAGTTCTAGTGAGAATTCGTGACCAGTGAGATCCATCCAGACGTCAAGTGTGAGGATAGATGTCCCACCGATGACATTGGTTGGTGCCAGTCGCGCTAAATGCATCATGAATTGGTAGAAGTTAGAATTCATGGGCTGGCCATTGAACAGTCAGGTCCCAGTAACTGACTGAATGGTATACGAACCAGCTTGCCGTGTAACTGGGCGGTCCTGGGTTCAAACTCCATACGTAGTGTGGGTGCGTAGTGCTGATGATTCCCAAACTAGGCTGATGAAACAGCCGGCTGTTCAGTACTCCGTGTGGCTGGCTTTCAATGCTTCGCTTTCTCTAACTGATGATATCAATCCGTCATCAAACTCGTAAAAACAAAACTAATCCTTAAAAATCAAACTATAGAGGAAAGTCTATTTTTGTTTATTTTCTGTTATATATATTTCGTACAGAGAATTTCATCATGAGCTGACATCAGTTGGAGAACCACTGGAAAACCTGAGAGTACTGGACAGCTGATGCTCACTAGCGACTGGTCCTATTCAGGCAGTTAACCTGAGGTTCTAGTGGGAAGTCGTGACCAGTAGGGTACAGCAGGTCGAAAAAGACATTGCAAAATGGTCGCTCTGTGTCGTGAATTGGTAGAAGTTAGAATTCAAGAACCATTGAATCGGGTACCAGTGGCTCAATGGTCTACGAGCTCTCCTTGTAACCAGAAGGTCCTGGGTTCGAACCCCGGTGGGTGCGTACTGTGAAGAATCCCTAACTAGGACGAAACAGATGGCTGTCTAGTACTCCCATGTTTTCCAGTGGTTCTCTAACTGATGTCATCTTATGATGAAATCCTCCATACAATCAAACAAAATCCCTACAAAACCAATATATATATATATATATATATTTCGGTTTATACATTAACGAGTACTACACAGTCAGTATTAATCCACTGTATTGTTTCATACCCTGTGATAAAATTAAAAGCGGACTATACATGTTTAATAGTGTGCATCGGTGGTGTCAGACACGTACGTGACCTGGGATGTGGAGGAGAACGTCCGATTTCTGGCCAACATACTCCTGAAACGCATCTACAGCCGGGTAGTAAGTTAACTCGATAAAGGGGAAACTTTGAAGGTGGGGCTAACAACTCCATCCCCTAGAAAATAAAGAACGTTAATACCAATGAAACTTCAAAGCTCAATGGTGGTTTTAAGCCTTCTATCTCATTAGGAATTCATGGGAATAAATTTTTTTTTAATGAAAATATTTGATAGAGAGAAAATACTCACTCAGAAATTGAGAAGACAAAAGAAAATATTTGAGCAAAGAATATTCGACAAAGTTAAACTTTAAGCACGAGTAACTACTAATCAGCGAATGACCTAGAACGCACCAATCACACGAGAGAAGCTATCCTTGGGCATAAAATAGATGTATTTACTTCAAGTTAGACCACGGATTGATATCAGTTAGAGAAGAACCATTGAAAACCAACCACAGGGAGTACTGGACAGCTGTTTCATCGTAGTTTTTGGGAACCATCAGCAGTACGTACCCACTGGGTTTCGAACCTCAGACCCCTTCCAGTTATAAGGCAAGCTGAATGTCTGAATGGTATATCTTAAGAGTTCATCTATTACATATTGTTGAAACTGGCTGTTGGAATCTACATTAAGAAACCTGACTTATGTATCCAGAAGAGGTTGGTTGGTTGGTTGGTTTGTTCAGACGCTTTCCTTACCTTGGCTGTCAATCAAGTTTTTAATGATCCTTAATTTGTTATTGTAGAGATTTCCTTAATATCTTATTTGATATTACATTTTTATGCTTATTGTAACTTATGTATCTCTTCTAGCCAACTGATAGGAGATTAGTGGAACTGGTGCAACATAAGGGGGTACACTTTATATTCACGCCTTTTTATCCTGCAAATGTGTATATTTTTCAAGTATATTGGCTTTTAGGGATTTGATTGCTTGGCTACAGGATTTTATCATAAGCTAACATCAGTTAGAGAGAGAGAACCATTGGAAGCCAACACTAGAGTACTGGACAGCTAGCTAGCTGTTTCGTCAGCCTAGTTCGGGACTCTTCAACAGTACGCACCCAGCGGGGTTCAATCCCAGTGGCTTAATGGTCTACAAGCTCGATAGCCTTTGTAACTGTAAGGTCCTGGGTTTGAACCCTGTTGGAGGGGGGTGCGTACTGGTGAAGAGTCTCAAACTAGGAGAAAACAGCCAGCCAGCCAGCTAGCTATCAAGTACTCCAGTGGTTCTCTAGGCAATGTCAGCTCATGATGAAATTCTGTAGCCATATATATATATATATATATACTACTAATATGAGTGGGAGCGTGAGTAGTATACACATACATTTTAGTTATTTAGCTTCTTGTTTTCCTATTTTTCCTTCAACTATTATATTAAGCCGTTGCCAGTAAATCAAGTCTTCTATTTCGAAGATTACGATTATTAGCCGTACGTATTAAAGATGAATTAATTGAACCTATACTATTGGCATTGCATTCAGGTTAGTGGGAATATTGTATTCTATATTTTGTCTAATATATATAAGACGATATCGTCTGACTGTGACAAGATGCAGACTGACGAAATCTCATTCAGTTGGCTAGCAGTGTCTACAAGTATAGTAATGTGCGCTGCGCTGTCTAATTGCATAGTATTATTACAAGATTGGCAAGAGCCCTTTTGTGCGTGCACACATCCTTGGAGTTTTGTTAGACATACGCCAATTTCAGCTATCTCTGACACCGTCGTGACATCACATCAGCCTGGCTGTTAAAAGTCGGGTTAACAATGATTTGATACTGCGCGTAACTTTGCTCTGGTCTCTCCGACATGAGAATGTGTAGTGGTGGTGGTTCTGAGTATTTGGAGTGCTTTTCTCCTATGTCATCTTCGTATAAGTAATTCTATGTTCCGACAATGTTTGCGTGTGTTTCGAAACAATGGAGGTCACCTTTCTATTTTCAGTGTGGTTCATCTGTAAGCACTGGCTCCAATCACCTGGACATGTGCTATGAATTTCATTCCAGGATCTCGTATAACACAACACTATCTGTATACAAGAAACTATTTATCTATAAACTCTGATATAAAATTGTAATTCAGCGTGAACGATTAAGGTTTTATCGCAACTGCATAGAAAATAAACATTATCCTATATCATTTTACAAATCACTACGTCGGAATAAGTCAAAATCTTCACTCTCCAACCTTCAGCATCTTGCTGAATTAGAAATTGATGAAATTAATGACAAACTTTCGAAATTTATTGAAACACACCAAAGACTAATTCCCGTTTTGGATAATTTATCTTTAGTATGTCGAGTTAAATTCACAGTATTTTGCAATGATATGGTAAAAAAGACCATAAGTTCTACCGAAAAAAAATTAACAAAATCTTTGAAAGACTCGAATCATATTTTGGAATTTCCTCAAGATATCCACAAACATATAATTAATTTATCTACATGCACTCTATCCCAACTACAGTTGGAAGCATTATCTTATGGAATGAAGTACAAAACTATTCCCATGAAAATGAACAAAGTGGAAGTCCAGTCACAGTGTGAAAACCTCTATGATCAAATCTCTGATTTAACTCCCTCTAGTAAAGATAATCTGGACTGGTTTAAAGTTAAACTGGGGGACATTTCTCATCAATTTCTAAATGCTAGAATACACCAGAAAAATGGTTTATCAAAAGAACACCACGCCGCAATTAAGGAATTAATCGAAAAAGATAATCTTGTGATCCTTAAACCTGACAAGGGAGAAGGCGTTGTCATTATGAACAAATCGGATCATCAAAATAAAATGAACTATATCCTCAAAGATCAGTCCAAATTTCTGCTGGACAATGCTACTGATAATGTGCTGCTTGTGGAAAAGCAGATCAATCGTCAGCTTCAGATTTTACTGATGCATGGTTTTATAAATGAAAAACTTTATAAACAACTTAAACCAATTGGGTCACATACTCCTCAGCTTTATGGTCTTCCGAAGATCCACAAAACTGGGAACCCACTGAGACCCATCTTAGACATGTCAAATCCTCCTTACCATAAAATCGCCAAATGGATTACAGAGGTGCTTACGCCTGTAAGAGACTCACTATCAAATCATTCTGTAAAAAGTTCATTTGATCTTACAGAAATGCTAGACACCTTGAACATTAAGGAAAAGGTTATGTGTTCGATTGACATAGAATCTTTATTCACCAAGTAACTAAACCGTATTTTCTTTTCCGCTCCTCGTCAGAATACATTGATTTGTGTGTAGGTGTGATACGGTATGTGTTTCGAAGAATGAATTCAGTCGTATTAAAACAGGAAACAATTTTAGACACAATACTACTCCTTGAAATTAATTGATGGATGGTGACTAGCAGTGGAATTCAGGATGAGCATATTTCGTCCCACTTGGGACTCGTCAACCGGATGTCACCCCTGCATATTCCCCCAGTGACTGACTGATGGTGTTTCTACTGAGGCTCGAACCCAGTTACCCATAGTTTTTTAAGCTTCAAGTTAAATAATCAGACATCGTCAAAGCATCTGCATGAGGAGCCGATATGTCATCCTGAAACCGAGCACTTCGGTTCAATCAATCAATCAACAGGAAATTCCAAATTGAATTAAACAAGATTACCAGTTATATTATTCATTATTATTCCCTTGAGTTCCGAGTGCAACACACATGTCTGTGTCATCATCAGTGGTATCTGATTGTCTTCACTGACTCACTGGTATATCAACACGTAGAACTTTTCACCGATGTGCAACAGTTCAAGTAACCACACTTCATGTAGTACACAAAGCAAGAAAAGAATGTAAAAATAGGTTCAAAATAGATGTATATAAGGCAAAAAGTAATAGCAATATAAAAGAAGAACAAGATTTTATTGGATATTATAAGTCACAGGGAGTGGATGTATCTACGCCACTGAGAACGATTTCGAGCTATGATTATCACTGATTGTCTATAGCCTTCATTGGCTTCTACCATCCTGAAGACCCCAACCAATCAGGAAGTATATACCCTTCCTGCGTGGCTGGCTTAAACTAACTGTTGTGAATTTCAGGATTTCGTCATGAGCTGACATTAGTTAGAGAACCACTGGAAAACCTGGGAGTACTGGACAGCTGTTTCGTCCCAGTTTGGGACTCTTCAGCAGTACGCACCCACCGGGATTCGTGGATTTCTTTGACTAATGAAGCCATGTTTTGGTTTGACTGCTACTACCTCTTTTCCAACCTAATCCATCCTGTGTCAGTTAACATTGCCTTCGTCGAGAAAGGCGATATAGTCAAGCTAGGAATATGTAACACATGTCCTAATCATCTCAATTGATGTAACGTCACAGACTCGTCGATTGATTTCACTTCCAACTCACCTAGCACTCGACAGATGCCTAACCTCAATATTGCCCACCTTATCATACCACCAACTAACACACACACGAGAGATAGAACGCAGACACCTATGATCAAAGACATCTAGCCAGGCTTTTCATGTCTTCCACTGTCAATGTGGACCATGTATCTCTGACAGCCAGCCGTAATGGTGGACGTAGTGGACTACTGAAGTGCAGTGCACACACTCCCTTTGATCGACAGCCAGTCGGATATCATGTCTACGTCTACGTCATCATCTATGGTGTACCTTAATCTGGCTAGCATTGGCAGTGGTGGTATACAACCACTCATTGCAATCAATCAATGGTAGTAGTGTAACGACATACTTTTATGTGCATTATTATTATTAGCATTATTTCTAGCAGAGAAGCAACGTCTTCTGATTGGTTGTTTTCTTGCTCAAGGTTATTTTGTCATCTCTTTGTAACCGTTTCTAAGAAAGTTAAGCCATATATCTGCGAATCATGTTTGCACACATTAGGTCTGCTGTGATTGGTTAGTGAGTTCCTCAAAGTTAAACTTCGTTATTATTTTCATTCTCATGACTCCGCTTTAGGACGTGTAACATTGACACAAATTGTAGACAGTAATTTACGTCAATGTTTACGTGTCCTCATCGTGAGGAAAATAAGAACAAAACAAAGACTCACTCCAACAACCATTCACAGCAGACTTTGCGTAGGTGGATACAATTTTGGAGATAGATAATCTGGATTTCAATAAACGGCCACGAAGAGATGAAAGATTAACTTTCAATGAGAAACAACCACCAATCAGAAGGCTGTGTTTGTTTGTTTGTTTGTTTGTTTACAATGATGTATAATAATAAACATGAAAGTTTATAAGTATCTGTTGATTTCCTAAATAAATGATCAGTTGCCTGGCCCTTGTCTTCTGTTGTTACAATAGTATAAAGTCTTAGGCAAGAAGCATAAGCTTACTTTCTCCTGATTACTATCGATTATATCAATCAGATCACATTTCCAAAGGTAACTAACTAACTAACTATGGTGTGTGTATGTGTGTAAATTGAAAATTTTATTTTAAGGTTGGTGTAATCCTACCATCGATTTTCCTGCATTTGAAAAAAATCATAATCGCTTTTTACTTGAGATACTTATGTCATCTGATTAAATTTTCGTTTCTTCCTAAAATTTTTTTTACCCATATAATCTTTTATTTCTTTTTTATTTTCTCTACAGAATACAAACTCCCACCTAGAATACATTTATGCACACTACCGAATGAATTATTTGTAAGTTCTTGTTATATTTGTGCTATTTAAGTATTTTCGAGAGATGTATAAGCTATTAGGGACTTGATTTGATTGGTTACATAAATGACCACGAGGAGCGATGGCATCAGAGAGTATTAGACAGTTAACCGTTTCGTCCTGGTTTGGTGTTCTTCATCAGTGCGCACCCACTGGGGTTTTAAGCCAAGAACAATCCGGTTATGGGGTGAGCTCGTAGACCCAATGGTTTGTGAATTCCAACTGCTGCCAATGCGAACCCTGGTGACGGTGGATGAGTGCCGATGAAGAGTTTCAAACGGGGACGAAACAGGTAGCTTTCTAGTACTCCCTTCAAGTTTTCCAACGGTTTCTCTCTAACTAATGTCAGTTCATGATCAACTCTGTTACACTATTATTATTATTATTACTTATACGCTTTGGATAATGGGCTGAACACCGATATCTCTGATTCAAACATCTTTCTGTCTGTTTTGGATCGCACATAGTGATCGTATATATTAAAGGTTGTACTCTGGAAATGTCATGATCTTTAAGGATTAATTTAAAGTAATTTGGTGGATAGTATGACTAACAATGGCGGAATTCGGAATGTTCATATCATCCTATATGAGACTGGTGGTATCTACCCAATCAGACCCGAACAGAGAATTCATCGCTTCAGACACCAAAGCGTCATCCACTAGGTCAGTTGAACAAGAGAAGCCACCTTGTTTTTTTGTTCTGTTCTCTGCTGTCCTCTTCCCTGTGGGTCCACGTTTGCCCATAATCTACTATCTCCTTCTCACACGATCCCCTCCATGTCACCCTCACACCGACGACTCACTAGTTACTTCCCATTGGGATTCCACTCTAGCGATGGTCTGCATTGCGCGCGATATCATTCGACAGCCTCCTCAACGTGTATGCCCAACCCATCCGTCTCCATTTTCTACTACATATCTTCGTTGTCGAGCAATCGACTCTCTCCTATTGGTTTGTTCTCAGACAGAGTTTCTTGTGACTAACTCTTTCTGGCCTGTTATTTGATCTTGCAGTAAGGCATCCAGCGAAGATGACAGCTGTTGGTAAAAGTCTACAGTAGCCTGTTGGAAATGTTTTTCGTGACACGAATGCCAATTTTATGACGCATACAAGAAGAACTGCCTTAACATTAGTGTTGAAAATCCGAATTTTCTTCTTTATACTGCTGAGGAGTGCAGAAGATTTCCAAACTGGTTTCAGGTTGATGAAGGTGTATCTTCCCTTTCCGATTCTGACTGGCTGGTGTTGGCATATTCATCCTATTGAAACCATGTTTTTTGTGTGGATAAATGAAGGGAAGAAGTAACCTCTTTCAAATCTCTCCTGTTGATAATGATTGGTTGGACTAAAATGGTGGAACACCATCACTCGCCCATTCACTGGGATGGGGGAGGAGTGGAACCACACCCAGCTGACGGATATCCAAAATAGGGATAAAATGTGCGTATCTTGGATTCCAAGCACTACTGGTCACCGGTGATCTACCAAAATTACTTCAAAATGTCATGATGGCTAGAGGACATGATGTTTTTTGGTCAGTGTTCATTGATATCAGTTGTAGAGATGCGATTCACTAACTCAGGCTTTGGATTGATTTTCAGCCAATTGGCTCCCACACTGCCTGCATTACCCATCAGATAATAAATGTGGCTGTAGGCTTTCATCGACGTCTGCCCCCCCCCTCCTACGCTCGATATTGAAAATCAGATAGCCAATCAGAGAGGATAGGCAACAAAAAACCATGGGAACGGACCAACCATGAACATATTGCCAAACATGAACGTGTTCCAGGAAATGGAAATAGATTGAACACATGCTGAGCAGACCGTTGAGTGGGATCGTTCACTAAGTCATTGCTCAAGTGTGACCCGAATGAGAAACCACGTGTTGGGTATCGCTTCGATAGTGACATGGAGGAGATCGTTTGAGGACTAGATGAAAGCCAATGATCAATTGTAGAGACTGTTCATGAAGTGATTTTAGTTAGAGAACCACAATCCCGACCTATAGCTGTTACCTTGACGTGGTGGTCGGGCTTGCACATTGTGATGACCCAACAAGCTATACTGGCTGGAACATATATGTTCCTGAAGGTCCTACCTACCATGCCAGGAAGGTTGTTAGGATAGCGATTAGACTAAAAGCAGTTACTGGCATCGTTTAAGAATCTTTCTTACACTATTCTGGGGTCTGAGGGCGATGTCGTACTGCTGGGGAACAGGGGTATAACAGCAGTGAGGTGTTTCCTTCAGATGACCAGCATGCCAGCTATGCCGTTTTTCCATTCCGAAGGAAGGGGTTAGAAAAGGTCTACTCCAAAAGTTGTACATCCCGACTTACCGTACGGTGGTCTGTAACCGGCGATGAGTTTACTAATACGGAACCAATCCTAGAAACCAGTTCATACAGACCGTGTGTGACCGACTGGGCTCTGCGGTCACGCAACACTCTATGTTTCAGGCACCCGAAGAATTAATCAACTTCCACGGTGTGGGCAGCCTTGAGTAACAACCACCCAAACACTTCCAAAAGCACACGAAGCCTTCCTGAGCACGATCAAAAAAGAGAACCACAATGAAACCCAAAAGTTACTAGATATCAGAGGGAAAAGAACAAGAAGTTCAGCAAAGATGGCGATCTTTTCAGTGAGATCATTCTCAAAAGCTGTACGATCGCATTTATATGCATTAGTTTACATGGATATAATTATTATTTATTTATTTAATTCCACATAGTAACGAAGGATGAAAGTTTGAAGGTACAAGAGGCTTAGAGACAAGATTACACATAGGATTAGAAAACAGTTACAACCTGTACAAAATTAATATTTGATAACTGGAAAAATAATAATTTTAAAGGCGAATAAAAGGTGACCATCATTATTTTCAACTTGATATGAATTACAAGAGGCTTATAGACAATGTTACGCAGGGATAGAACGAATTACAGGTGTGAACAAAATGAGCATGGAAACAAATTGAAATCAAAAATTTCCAACTTGAAATGTAAATTAGAAGGTGTGAATATAGATTACAAGAGGCATAGAAACAAAAATTTTATAACTGGAAAAAATGGGATGAATTGAATGAAGACAAAGAGAGAAAATTATACACAAACAGAGAACAAAAAAAGAACTGAAGGATGAGGGAACATACCGAACTAGGTGTTCACGGTAGTTGTAAAGGCTGGACTAGTTATTTTGAACACATAGCTCCGGCTTTTCGGTGCATATGGCGAGAGCTTCCACAGTACAAAGAAGTCGGAAACACACTGACTGCCTTTGGTAGATTTTTGTTTACTTTGTAAATGACTCTGAATGATGGATAAGTTGGCTGAGATGCTGTGAAAGGTATTGACGAGGTGTTCAGTTATGGTGCTTCTGATTGAACCAATGCCTCCTGTTTGCAGCCATGCTGCCATGTTGTTCTCTAACACGTTTTGATAAGACCCGCATAGAACAACCTATGTACCTAGCTCCGTAAGAGCACATTGAAGTGATCATATGCGGAAGTCTGTCCTTTCCGTTGCTCCGAAGTAGTAGGTGGCTAGATAGCTAGACAGCTATTTCGGCCTAGTTCGAGATTCCTTACCCAGTGCCCGACTACCAGTCGATTTCACCTATCAGTGAATATTTGTCCTCACACCCATCCAACTTTGGTGGAACCCCCTTGGTTACGACTACCCACCAGGACTTTGGGCAACTTGAAAGGTTCAGGGTTCGATCCCTGGTGGTGAGTGCGCGTAAGATGAGAGAGTATCAAACATGGACGAAACCAGCTGCCCCAGCTGGTATTCAATGATTCTCTAAAGGAAAGCAGTCTATGTTCAATCCTCTTTGAGTTTATCTAATGTATATATGTTCACGTATATATTTGTATTTTTGCTATTTTTTAGTGCTTATTACTTTTTTCCAGAGTCAGATCTTATCCTGTCTGTCATTGTCTACACTTGGTTCACTTATGTTATGCAATCATGATCTGTACAATCGTATACGTGGTTGTAATACAATATGGCGTATACACTTGGCTAATTTAGATGCTAAAAAGAAGCCAATATTAGATGCAGCATTAAGTCGACAACAAAGACAATTAAGACAACTTCAAGAACAGCAACAACAACAACAACAACTGCAACAAGAACAACCAGACGAACCAGATGCTTCAACACTTGTTGGTGATAATCAAGATAACAGGAATGAATTAAACATTCTAGTGAATAATGAAGAGAATTTATCGAGTTTAAGTAAAGATTGTCTTATACCACAGTATACGTGTAAGTTGTTTCATTCTTCACTCTTATATTTCATGAAATTGGTTCCTACTGCATTAGTGCTTTCTTTGCCACTGATGACATCATGATAGCCACTCACTGCCTCAGTGTGTTCGTAGTTGGGTTGTTGTCTGGGTGACCGGAGGTAGATAATTGACTCTCCCGTTGATGTCAATCCACATCTATTCCATGCGCTTTCGCAGAGATACCCAGTGTACTTCTAAGCCATATCTTCGCATCGCTTTGGCTACCTGGGTAGCCTTCCCAGCATGCTTCGTGCATTGTACGGACGTTCCACGTACCCATTCTTACTCTTGCTTTCACTGAGAGAAGAGACATCGGCAGGCTGACTGTCTGCTCGAAGACTGGCTTTCACCAGCCCACCGCGTCATTTCACCTATCCGATTCCAGTGAAGAATAAAATTGTTGCCATTTGAAGTTTTTGTACTTTTAATATACATATTTTCTGTATGTTGAAGTTTTGTCTTTAGCTGTTTGAAAGATTTATCCTGGAGAAAATAAAGGATGCACTGGGTACAGAACTTCACCAGCCCATTCGGAACAAGCTGGCTGGATTCAGGAAAGGCTAATCATCGTTATCACAGAACAAAGCATAGAATGGTAGTCAAATCTCTTCCTACCTCAACTTCATCAACTTCTAAAAAGCCTTCGACAGGGAGTGATGACCGAGAAGTAATTTGAAAAATACTTCAACACTACGGCGTTCTTATCTATGTTCACTTGAAGTCCAAAGATAGGACTTCAAATGAACATAGATAAAACAGAGGTGATGAAGATTCCTGGCCAACAGCAACAACAACAGACGAAATCAGCATAAATGGAAGGAACCTGAAAGAAACAACCTTCTTCAACTACCTACCTACCTGGAAAGCATCGTTTCAACTACAGGCGAACGGAACTGACGAGGATATTAAAGCCAGAATCGGGAAAGCAAGACAAGCTTTCATTACTCTCAAGTCTGTGTGGAGGTCAATACTCAGAACTCAGCATCAAAAATAATATCCGGATTTTCAACTCCAATGTGAAGTCAGTCAGTGCTACTCACTATACGGATGGATCAGAGACTTGGCCAGCGCGTCATAAAGAGCATCTCAAACAAATTTCAGACCTTCATTAACAGTTGTCTTCGCTCACTACCACTCAAGATCAGATGGCCGGCCAGAAAAGATCAGCAACAGGGATCTCTGGCAATGAGGGAACCAACACACCAGGAACCGATTGTGAAACAAATATGCAGGAAGAAGTGGAGATGAATTGGCCATACCCTGAGGAAACTATCAAGTGACATCACCAGACAAGCCATTGCTCGAGTGGAACCCGAAAGGGAAGCGGCAAGTTGGTCGTCGGTGTGAGGGTGACTTGGAGGAGGTCATGCGAGGAGGAGATGAAAGCGTGTGGGAAGACTTGAAGTGGGGTGAAAAAGTTGGCAGAAAACAAAAGGCAATGGAGGCGCGCAGCTGAAGCCCTATGTGTTCCTCTAGGAACTAAAGGATAAAATAATAATAATAATACTACGGCGTTCACTGCTCAAGTCTTAATCAACCTCATTCAACAACTGGCTGGCTATATGACAATTCCATGTGTCAAATGATCTACAACGGAAAACTCATCGAGGCGTTCGAAGTGCATGAAGGAGTAAGATAAGCCTGGCTGCCTACTATCACTAATGATATTTGTTATTGTGGTCGACTGGATTATGCGTCAGACTGTGCACAGGGAGCGAGGAGTCAGGAATACACTGGACGACCAATAAGAAGACTCTAGAAGATTTGGATTTCGCGTGTGGATGGTATATGTCTAATGTCACACAAACTCGAAGACTTTCAGGCAGACAGGCGAAAACCAGCAAACTGTTTGAAGAAGCAGGCAGGCGAAAACCGGACTGCAGGTGAACATAGAGAAGACGGAGGTAAGTGAAGAAGATAACCAACCAACAGAAACAGCAACATCAACCAGCACCAATCACCATCAACGTCAACGGGAAAGACTTAAAAATAGGTTACTTCTCCCCATTCACTTATCCAGCTAGGAAGCACAGGCAGTTGGAAAGGATGAAGATAATATCGAAGTTAGCCAGACAGAATCGGAAAGGCAAGATACGCCTTCATCAACCTGAAACAACCAGTTTGAAAATCTTCCGCACTCCGCCTCAGCATAAGGAACAAGATTCAGATTCTATTCAACACCAGAATGAAGTTGGTTCTTCTATACAGGTCAGAAACTTGGCCATAGTGTCACGAAAAGCACTTCCAGGGGGGCTGTTGCTGCAGACTTTTATCAACAGTTGGCTTCATACTGAAGATCAAATGGCCAGAAAGTCTGGCTGGCAACAAACCAACAGGCGAGAGCCGATCACTCTACAAGTATGTAGGAGAAAGTGGAAATGGATTGGGCATACGTTGAGAAGGCCACCGAGTGACGTCGCGCACCAGGCCATCGCTCAAGTGGAACCCGAATGAGAAGCGATGAGTGGATCGTTGGTGCGAGGGTGACATGGAGGAGATCGTGTGGCGAGGAAGAGGCGAGAGAGTTTGGTCAATCGTGCGTGGACTCAACTGAAGAGGAGGATGACAGAAAGCAGAACAAAGTGGAGATGTGCTTGCTGTTGAAGGGGGGAGCCCAATGTTCCACTCGGAACCCAAAGGAATAATAATAATTACATAAATTCATAATGAAATCCTGTAACTAATCAAATAAAAACCCTGTTAACCAACGACTTGAATATTAATCTGATGCTCACTAGTGACTGGCTCTATTCAAGTGGTAGTTAGTTGCCTGGGTTCTAGTGAGAAGTTGTGACCTGTGGGGGGTGGTGGGATTACAGTAGGTTGGGCCGGATGTGAGGAACAATACTCGCCGGTGATGACATTGGCTAGTGCCAGTCGCGGTATATCGTTAATTGGTAGAAGTTGGAGTTCATGAACTGGCCACTGAATCGGTTGGTTGCCAGTGGCTTTAATGGTCTGTGAGTTTGCCTTGCAACCTGAAGGTCCAGGTTCCACCCCTGGTGGATAGTCCTAAACCAAGATGAAACAGCTGCCTGTCCAGTGCTCCAAGTTGGTTTTTCGATGGTTCTCTAATCGATGTGTCAGCTCATGATGAAATCTTGTTTGGTAACAATTAAATCAATTCCCTGCCAGTCAACACTTACATGAATATTCATTAAATTTATTTACTTTCAGTGTAAACTTTGTCATGAATCAATATCAGTTAGAGAGATCCCTGGAAATCGAGAAGGACTAGACAGCTGTTCCCTCGCCATCCTACCAGAAATCGATTCCAGGCTACTAGACGAGCTGGGTTGATCACTCAGACACTTCAATTTGAAATTCAGTGATTTTTGAATTCTAACTTATATCAGTTCATGATATAGCACTTCTGTCTGTCTGTTTTCGGCATAGAACTTTGCACATATGTGCACCAGTTCAAGTCACCACACTCCCTCTGTGTAGCACACAAATCAAGAGAAGAAAGTAGAAGAAATGCATAATAGAGACAGTAAACAGAGGTGTGAGATGAGACAAAGGAATAGTAGTAACGAAGAACAGTATAGTTTCATTGGAAATCATAAGTCACAAGGAGTGGATGCATCTGCACCGGCCAACCATTGAGAACGATGAGTTTGAGCCATATCACCAATTGTTTCCAGCCACCATTGGTTTTTACCGTCCCGAGGACCCCAACCAGTCAGGGAATGTACATCTTCCTACGTGGCTTAGGCTAACTGTTGTGGATTTCATAGACTGATGAATTTATGTTTTGGTTTCACCACAACTAACTCATTCCCAACCTGATGAATCATACATCAGCTAACATTACTTGTCGTCGAGGAAGGCGGTGGATAGGCTAGACATACGTAACACATGTCTTAACCATCTCAATTAATGTAACGTCACAGCCTCGTCGATTGATTCCACCTCCAGCTCACCTAGCACTCGACCGATTCCTCACCTCAATATTGCTCACTGTATTATAACACCACCTAACACACACGAAAGATAGAATGCAGACACTTATGATCAAAGACAGCTAGCCAGGCCTTTTCATGTCTTCCACTTTCAACGGCTATAGTAAAAAAGATTAACAAGTGTTTTCTTCTGTGTACAGTTCTTGGGAGAAATAAATCCATAAAAATCAGGTAGGCTTCATTCTTGGACGATGATGTATTAAATGACACCTTCACCCTTCTACATACTCTACTAACATCTGACACCTGTGATACTTCTTGACCCAAAGACGGAATTTAACTCTGTCGATCGAGAAGTGCTGTAATGGTGTCTGCCTGTGAAAGGAGTACGAAGAAAGTGTATTGCATTAATTGAGGCACACTATTCAAACTCTCATACAGCCTTGTTAGAACTTATGGCAAATAGAGTTGGTCATCTGAAGTGATGCCAACTAGAGTGCCTACCCGTCATGAATACATTTTCACCGATCTAGAGTATCCCAACTATATAATCCTTGTAAGTGAGAATGATGATAAAATGCAAAGTCTTTTCCAACACGTCGATGCATGAAGAAAGAAGTTAAGGTAATTTTTTCAATTTAGGTGTGCTAATGGTATGCGTCTGTGGCGCAGCGATAGAATGCTCGCCAATTACGCAGGGGGTTCGACCTCCGACCGACGCACTCCTATACCTCACTGAGCCAGTAATAAGACTGGTAGGGAAAGATGGTTGCGTATGAAGCCAGCAGTAACCTCATCCATCCCGTAAAAATAAATACCATCTAGCACTACAACTGAATTTTAACTAAATTTCAACATTTATTAGCAAACTACTAACAAGTAGTATATAATATGTGTCTTCAATAAAAATCTCTTCACAACATATCCTAAAGTGAAATCAATTTTTAAAAAAGATTCCCATGTTTTATTTTATTATTTTTTATATTTATTTTTGTTTTCTGAATAAATAAAATTGTCCGACGTCATCACACTGAAGCATCATCTAGTTCAACGTTGAATGATTCCGATTCCACGTGGCCTAACAATCATGTTCCTCAATATGATGCTTATGAGGTGAGTTTAAGTGTATTTCATACATTTATTCCTCCCCTTAATGAATTTGAACAAAGCAAGAACTACAGTTTTAGCAGAATAATATGGTACCATCATTGCTTACTTATTTCGTTGGCTTCTCATCAGCTGCTTACAGCCTAAATAAATTATGAGGTTTAAGTACAGACATGTTTTAACATACGTGCAAATTTTACATGTTGTCAGTTGACAGAAATTTCCACAATTAGTAAACAGTGCTCAGAAAATTGCGCTTATATAGTTTTCACACAGGCAGTTGAAGTTAAAACAAAATGAATGTATGAAGAAAATGGTAAAGGAGTTACATAATAGAGATGAGATATGCGTTAGATGTATAGTGACTAGTAAGTTAGGTAACAATGTACTGAGTTGAACTCAAACCATAGAAACAAGAGACAAGCAAAATTACAGATTGTAAAAGGGAGGGAGAGGTTAAAGACAAAGATTACGTAATCGGATGAGAGAAAAAAAGGCATCCAGTTACCAAGGCAAAGGAAAGACTAATAACTGCTTCTTTCAGAACACATAGATCTGGTTTCAAGCGTTGGATAGAAATCGCTTCAGCAATCTTAAGGAGAATTCAGCTCTTTTGTGCCTATTGATAATTTTGAATGACTTTTCGACATCCACCTCATGACCCGTGTCGAGGAGATGCCTGGCGATGGCACTGTTTAAAGCATTTGTTCCCTCTAGACTATATAAGCGCAATTTTCTGAACACTGTTTACTAATTGTGGAAATTTCTGTCAACTGACAACATGTAAAATTTGCAAGTATGTTAAAACATGTCTGTACTTAAACCTCACAATTTATTTAGGCTTTAAGTGTATTGTTTGACTTTGTAATAATGGTTTTTCAATGAACGAAATATTCCCATATTAAGTCATAAGAAGAAAAAAAAGGCGCAAACAGCGAAGAAAATCTTCCCTTTTCGACGATTCATTATCAAATGAGCTGCTGTACAATCGTAATTATAATTTTCAAGTGTTGGTTTTGTAGGGATTTGGTTTGATTGTATGGAGGATTTAATCATGAGCTGATATCAGTTAGAGAACCACTGGAAAACCTGAAAGTACTGGACAGCTGTTTCGTCCTAGTTTGGGACTCTTCATCAGTGTGCATCCGCCAGTATTCGAACCTAGGACCCTATGGTTACAAATCTAGTGAGCTCATAGGCCATTGAGCCCCTGGGACCCGATCCAATGGTTCTTGAATTCTAACTTCTGCCAGGACGAAACAGCTGTCCAGTACTCCCAGGTTTTCCAGTGGTTCTCTAACTGATGTCAGCTCATGATTAAATCCTCCATACAATGAAACCAAATTCCTACAAAACCAACGCTTGAAAATTAATCTGATGCTCACTAGCGACTGGCCCTATTCAGGCAGTTAACCTGGGGTTTTAGTTGGAAGTCGTGACCAGTAGGGTACAGCAGGTTGATGATGAGGCAGTAACTCATCGAAGAAGACATTGAGAAGTGGTCGCGCTATGTCGTGAATTGGCAGAAGTTAGAATTCAAGAACCATTGAATCGGGTCCCAGTAGCTCAATAGTCTACGAGCTCGCCGTGTAACCAGAAGGTCCTGGGTTCGAACCCCGGTGGGTGCGTGCTGATGAGGAGTCCCAAACTAGGACGAAACAGCTGTCCAGTACTTCCAGGTGGTTTTCCAGTGGTTCTCTAACTGATGTCAGCTCATGATTAAATCCTCCATACGTAATTATAATTAACACAGAAATTTTTTTTAGACCAATCAGATACTGGTAAACTTTGTCCTTGAAAAATTGCATTACATAATGTTAAGGTGTGTAAGAAGGGAGACAAAAGTTGGCACGTCTTAACAAGTGTGCGATAATGACTAATCAATAAGCTAGTGGGAAGGCCATAAAGTGTTCTTGTGTATAAAATCTGTATGAAAAAGCAATGTTATTAATAAACAGTAATACAGTGGTAATAAAATGTGGATGATGGGAATAATAATGATAATAAAAGTATTAAGAACAATAATAATAATTATTATTATAGTGAACTTACATATTAAAAGAAAGAAGCAAAATTGTAGTAAGAACTTTACTCTGGCCATGGTAGGGCAAGAGAATGTATGTATCGCTTTTGTATGCACAGGTCCGGTTTCAGGTCTGGAATAGCTAATGCTTCAGCTATGTACAGAGGTGGCGTATCCGAAGTCCCTTTGTACGATATTAAGGGAGTCTGTGTACCACTGTGAAGCATTCATGCGGGGGTGGGGGTGCTCGATGTCCGGAGATGACAAGGTGTTCGAGGATCGCGAGCTGTTGCTATTCTCCTTTTCTCCTCTGGCTGGCTAACCAAGCTGGACAGTGTTCCAGAATACGTTTGTGGACTTGACGCCGCGTACGGTCGATATACTTTGCTCCACACGAACAAATAAATTGATAAATACAATACATTAATGTGGCCGAAAGCGGTATCTTGTCCTTAGCGTTAGACTGGATTAACTGTCTCTGCAGGAGAATGTGATACGTAGGTAGGGTGGCTGTTGGAAATGTCTTCTTCAGACTTTTTGAAAGGCAGTTTCTAAGAATTTCCGCTGTGATGTCACCTTTGAATTCTAGGTTCATGAAGCGAGTCTTCTTAGGAACCGTTGTGATGGTTTTATCCTTATTAAAACAGATTAATAATACTATTATTGATTCATTGGGTTCCCGGTGGGATATGATGCTTCAGGAGACAGCATCCTCATCACTGTATTCTGTCCTCGGCAGTCATTTTTAGCTGGCTCCACAACTGCCGACGATGTTTCATCCCACCTAACATAATATTCTCCATGTCACCGTTGGATACTAAGCTCGTTGCTTTGTATTCACGTTCCACTATAGGGCCTAATGCGTAATGCCACTTGAATGTCCCTTCAACGTATGTTTAATTCATAAAAAATTGACCATTAACCTCATTCAATTGCTACAGGTATTTAAAAATTGCCGTCCAGCAGTAAAATTCACTCCTGAATTCTTGATGTGGAACTAACAAGAAGATCCGGTGGAACCCTAAGAAGGCCATTCCATAGGAGAAACCCACTTGGAACGGTTGTATGTCTATTGAACGAAAACGCAATTTTATTAAATTCTTTGCCACATGGATCCGACACATCTGTGAGTCTTTTAGTCCCTAGAAGCAGGTTTAGATCTTCTGGAAGAAACCCTCATCCAAAATGGATACCCACCGAGATTTAATTAACAAGAATATCAAGCCAAAAATTCAAAGGAACGTGTTCTGAACTTTCACATGTGAACCTGTATTCCAAGGGAGACTTAACCTGCGATATCCTTAAGGGAAGTATTTCATCATTTTTCAGAAGGAGAACATTCTTTGCACCAGTGCTAATTAATTAGTGTTCTCCAATGGTCCTTTAATCTATAGAAACCTGAAGAACAAGATCTCGTATCTGACTACTTTTTATGTGTGTATATTAGTTCACCTGTTGATGGGGAACCAGATACATTGGTTTTTGAACAAGGTGAAGAACAAACTACTGAAGGTGTTATTGTTTCATCTCTTCTGGCATTGTTAAAGCTCTTGCCATTAAGGTGAAGAAACCAGAGTTATGCATAATAAAGAGAATCATCCAACCACTAGGCAGCGCCTGGGAATCAGAGGAAGTCCCGTCAGGGTTGGTATAAGTCATTAATTATCCCCATATACAAGAAGGGAGACAAGTCTCCCTGTGATAATCACAGGGGGATTACCTTGACTAATATGGTATCTAAAGTCCTAGGCTCAATAATCATGCATAGACTAAGTGGTTCTCAGGAGGCACAAACACGAGAGAGCCAGGCAGGCTTTAGACCAGGAAGAGGGTGTATTGATCATATCTTCACCCCCACCCCGACAGATTCTAGAACATAGACATTCCTACCGGCGTCCAACAATCATTATATTTCTTGACCTAAAGGCAACATTCCATTCTGCCGACCGAGAGGTTCTCTTGAGATGCTTGGCTGTAAAGGAATTCCGAGAAAATACATTTCACTGATTAAGGCACTCTACTCGTACTCATGCAGCCAGGTGAGGGCTTACGGCGAGTTGCCATCTGAGGTGGTGACGACTAGTGGTGTCCTTCAAGGATCCCCATTTCTATTCAACTTCATCATAGCTGTACTAATGGACTTAACCCTAAGTGACTTCAGCGACTCAGGGATTGACTTGTCACCAGGGAATAATAGTGTCGTTGACTTAGAATATGCAGATGATATAGTTTTTCTAGGCGAGGACACTGACAAGATGCAGAGTCTTCTAAACACCTTGAGCTGCAATCTGCGAATGACTGACATTCGAATCACTACTAGCTTAAAGATAGAGAGTGAAGCGGTTCGTGGAGCGTGTTGACCACTTCACTTATTTGCTCGGGGAGTTGCATCAGCCCCAACGGGTTGATCGCTGACGAATTCTCTACACGGATACAGAAGGCTAGTTTCGCATATTCCAGTTTATCCCGTCTCTGGTGTAGACTTGGTATCCGGCTGACTGTCGACCAAAGGGCGTGTTTACGACTCAGCAGTCCGCTCTGTCGTCCTTTATGGCTGTGAGACCTGGCTATTGAGAGTGGAAGACATGAAAAGCCTGGCTAGCTGTCTTTGGTCATAGGTGCCTGTGTTCTATCTCCCACGTTAATTGGTGGCATAATAAGGTGAGTAATACGGAGGTGAGGCATCGGTGGAGTGCTAGGTGAGTTGGAGGGGAAATCAATCGATGAGGTTGTGAATCGGCGGCGTCGATTGAGATGGTTAGGATATGTGTTACGCATGTGTGCCTAGCCTAGCCATCGCCTTCCTCGACGGGTGATGTTAGCTGACATAGGATCGATCGGGTTGGAAAAGAGTCAGCCAGTGGTGGTCAGACAAAAACATGGCTTCATTGGTCAATGAAATCCACAACAGTTAGTTTAAATCAGCCAGTCACGTAGGAAGGTGTAGACTTCTTAACTGGCTGGGGTCCTCGGGAGGGTAAAAACCAATGGCTCAGAATCGTTCTCAATGGCTGGTGCAGATGCATGCACTCCTTGTAGTTTATAATATCCAATAAAACTATATTGTTCTTCGATATCCCTATTCTTTTTGCCTCATATCTCTGTATTGAATATCTGTTTGCTGTCTTCCTTTGCTTTTTGTGCTAGTGTGGCAACTCGAACTGCTACACATCGGTGCAAAGTTCTATGTTGAAAGGAGTCAGTCAGTCATCCAACCACTTCTAGTATCATGTTTTTTCTAACTCCTTATAACTCTTGTTATATTTCTTTAGAACTCTCATATAATTCCATACACTTTCCTTCGTTACTATGTGCCCATCCTGATGACAACTCACTTATTAAAATATTCATCTTACGACGTAACACGCCGACTATCCTTATTCCACTCTCTTTTTATGCACAGCTAAAGGGGAGATGAATTCTCTGAGAAGTGCCTCTTCACTGAACTGTGTGTTCTTTTGTTTTCATTAACGTCTCAATGGGGATTATTCGTAAATAATCATCCATCATCATTTCCTGCAGAAAAGAAGAGACAATTTCAAATCTCCAGATCGTAAAGATCCTAGACTTGTTACTGGTTTCAGAAGACTTGACCTAATACGCAGAACAACAGAAAATTGAAATGCACTGCGATTGTTTATGCCTTCCACCGATAACGTGTTAAAAATACAGGTTACTATTTAAAAAATAGTATGTAAACAAGCGTTAATAGACAGTGTGCCCAATTTATATTTCTGATTATATTTCTTCAATCTCAGCTAGATTGAAATGAGTAATTCCAACGTTTTCTACGTTCGGCAAACTAGTGGCCTGAACTTCTTCAGGGAAATTAATCGAAATTAACATAACAGAGGTTTATATACATAAAAGAAACATCTCTTGTTTTTAAAAAGTGCCTTGTCCAATCATGAGTCATACAAACAAGTATTAACAAGTATAATAAACAAAACTGTATGAGTTGTGATCAAAATTTGACCTCAAACATATAAGTATTGGTCTACCTTTTTACGAGTTGATCACGGATTGATATCAGTTAGGGAACCATTGAAAACCAGGGAGTACTGGACAGCTGCTGTTTCATCCTCGTTTGGGAATCATCGGCACTACGCACCCACTGGGGTTCGAACCCAGGTCTACCTTTGTCAAACACTTTAAACACAATGTGTATGTGTGTGTGGGTAAACAGTTGTAAAACATTTCTTAACGTCTCCATAAGAAGATATAGACAGTCGGGAATTTTGACCAAGTATTATTAATTATTGATACATATCCATTTTTTATTTATTAATCAGGATTTTGGCTTTGTATCAGTTAACATCACTTCTTCGTGTCTGTTCAAACTGTTAGTATATCTAGAATTTTATGATTAGACGTATTTTCAAAATTATGGTGTTTAGGATTAGAGTTTAGTTGAAGCACCTTTGTCGAACTTATTGCTTTGTCTTCTTTCTGAATATTGAGCTGCTTTATTCGACCTACTGAAGTTGTCAGGTGACTTGACAACTACGGATTTAGGGTACGCATTCTGTTGCAGACAACGGAGAGTGAAAACATGATGATTGTGCCAATTATATGTAGTTTCTTTGTTGATTTAATTCGATTGCAAAATAATTCATCAAATGAACTGTTGTCAAGATTTAACAGTATAGTTCTAAAATATTTGGGCGCCGCCGTGTGAGAAGATTGTCCACCACAGGGAACGTTGGAATTACTCATTTCAATCTCACTGAGATTTTACAAATGTAATTTTACTTTACTTATAAGCAACGATAGCTTTCTTGTTTCCCGCCAAATGGAGGCAAGTTCGAATAAACGAATACGATTCAATGTTCATCAGCACTGACAGATAATGAATGTCATTAAATATTAAAGATGTGAAATAATTACTTGTTATTCAGTGCTCTACTTCATTAAAATGGAAGTATTGATTTTTTAGGGATTTTGTTTGATTGTATGGAGGAATTCATCATGAGCTGACATCAGTTAGGGAACCACTGGAAGTACTGGACAGCTGTTTCCTCCGTCCTAGTTTGTGACTCTTCATCAGTACGCATCCACCACCACAGTTCGAACCCAGGACCTGCTGGTTACAGGGATAGCGAGCTCGTAGACCATTGAGCCGCTGGGCCCCGATCCAATGATCCTCGAATTCTAACTTTTGCCAATTCACGACATAGCGCGACCATTTCGCACTGTCTTCTGCTTCGATGAGTTACTGCCTCATCATCAATCTGCTGTACCCTACTGGTCTTGACTTCCCACTAGAACCCCAGGTTAACTGCCTGAATAGGGCCAGCCGCTAGTGAGCATCAGATTAATTTTCAAGTATTGGTTTTGAAGGGATTTATTTTGTTTGATTCCATGGAGAATTTCATCATGATGGATCAGTTTCCAGTGGCTCAGTGATCTACGAGCTAGCCCTCCTTGTAACCAGAAGGTCCTGGGTTCGAACCCAGTTGAGTGGGTGAGTACCGATGAAGAGTCCCAAACTAGGACGAAACAGTTGTCCAGTACTCCTAGGTGGTTTTCCAGTGGTTCTCTAATTGATGTCAGCTCATGATGAAATTCTCCATGCAATAAAATTAAAGTGTTATGTATAGTATCAGAATACAATTTACACCATTTTTTCCCTTCAAGTTCCCCAGTGGAACACAGGGTCTCAAGCCGGTGGCTTGAAGTTTCTGTAGCAGTGTTTAATTTTACAGGATGGGGTTGCTAGCCAGCCTCATACCCAACCTTTCCTCTTTACCACCATTATTTCTGGCTTAGCGGGGTAAGAAAGTGCGTCGGCCATGGATCGGACCCCGAACCATGTACATGATTGGCGAGCATCCTAACCGCTGTGCCACCGACGCTCGTCATGAAATTACGAACTTGAAACCAACCTTACGACAAACAACTCAGTCATTTTTTTATTCAAAATATCGTATTACTTATGAGTAGGTTAGTCGATATAATATAAAAAAGTGTACCATCTATTCATATACATAAAATCAATCATATCCTTCTAAACATAAATAATAACACTTAAATTTTCTTTTGTGTGTTTTTTCTAATAGCGTTTTCTGGCCCGTCATAAAAGTCTGTCTATCCAAAGGCGGTAAGTCCATTTGACTACTATTAATGAGGCTTTTATCACTATTATTATTATTATTACTATTTATTAAAATACAAACTTTTGGTATACTATAGGCTTTAAGAAATGTCACACAAGATCCCATAGCTTTTATTATTATTATTTATTTTAATTCCTAGAGAAATATAGGGCTCCAGCCGCACATCTCCATTGCGTTCGGTGCTGTGCTAGAGATCTCACCTGGGTCCAAGTCTGCCCACATGCTGCTTTCATCTCCTCTTCACATGACCTCCTCCAAGTCACCCTCACACCGACGACCAACTCACCGCTTCCCTTTCGGGTTTCATTCGAGCGATGGCTTGTCTAGTGATGTCAATCACTTGATGTTTTCCTCAGATTATGGCCAGCCAATCCACCTACCTCTATTTCTTCCTGCCTATTTGTTTCACAATCGGTTCCTGGTGTGTTGGTTCCCTCATTGCCAGAGATCCCTGTTGCTGATGTTTTCTGGCCAGCCATCTGATCTTTAGTGGTATTGAGAGAAGGCAACTGTTAATGAAGGTCTGAAATTTCTTTGAGATGCTCTTTATGACGCGCAGTGCAAGTCTCTGATCCATCCGTATAGTAGCACCGACTTCCCATTGGAGTTGAAAATCCGGATATTATTTTTGATACTGAGTGCTGTTGAGAATAATGAAAGCTTAAGTGGGCTGCAATACTGCCCGGAGACTCGAAACAAGGCAGATGGTTGTCTTAAGGGATTACTCCCTCCCGAGTCTTTGACTTGGAGTTGGATCCACAAAACAGTGGAACAGCGTCAGGATTTACTTTCCCCATGGTTGACACTGAGATCAAAACAGGTCCATCACAGGACCGTTTGGGATGGTGGTTTTTTAGCTCCCCTCTTAACGGTAGAAAACGGAAGGCTTGACATAAGGATACTTATTTGCAATTCGGTATATCTATATAGCGAAATTAATTACACCCTATCTTCAACGCACCACATTTCCACAGATCTTCGTGTTGGGCCTGCTACATCTGGCCCTTCCTTCATATTGTGTTTCCCTGTGTTCCTTTCATGTCTCCCGTGTGTGTATCTCTGCAACTCTGTATCATTTTCTTTCTCTAATATCAAATCTATCACTATGTTATTTGATGTTTTCATGTCGATTAACAGAATGCAGTATACCGTATACACAAAGGCAAATCCTCCTCTGTTGTGCTCACTAAAGCTGGTGTCCCCCAAGGTGCTGTACTCTCCCCACTTCTCTTATCTTTCTTTCTGTCTACATGACTTATCATCTTCAAATGACATTAATTTTGTTAAATATGCTGACGACCTGACTGTATCTTTGCCTGTCAAATGTCAAAGCGACTCCTCTAAACTAAATGGCTTTTTATCAAAAATCAGTCAGTAGTCTAAGGAAAACGGTCTTGCCTTAAACCCCTCTAAATGTCAAACAGTCAATTTCACCTCTAGGCATAAATCTGACTGACCTAAGCAAACTGGTGGTTAGCACTCACGAGGTGTGCAACATTGATGGCACTGAAATATAAACCTAGCCGGAAATGAAATACCTAGACGTCATTCTATCTACTGATCTTTCCTGGTCGTCTCATATCTTGATGATTTCTAAGAAAATATTCCGTCTTACCTTCTACATCAAGAAGTGAAGACATTCTGGAATAACTTAACCCTTAATCCTACAATTCGTTAACTCTCATATTCTGTCTATTATTCTCTATTGTTCCCCCTTAGTTATTCCTGGGCTGGCTACTGAAGAAAGACTATACCTTATTACGCAGGATGTTAAAGGTTGTCAGCAGAGTGGTAAGCAATGTGCCACTTAACCAACCAGCTTGTTAATATTCTGGTCAACAGGCACTTGGACTCACTCATGTGAAAAGTGGGCTAAATCCATTTTATCTATCTAACTCACACGACCACCCTCTTCATTGACAACTCTCCGCTTGTATCTCATCAGGCAGGCAGACCAGAAGCCTATATAGAAAACGATATGCTCGCACTAACAACTACAAAAACTCAACCATACCCTACTTGGCCAGCTCGTGTTCTGTGCGATAAAGAAAGCATTAGGTGTGATACCTATAACTTATTAAATAGTCAGTAGAACAACTGGATCTCGTCTTTCCAACTCATATCATGTGTAGGTACAACGCTTTTCTTTCTTTCTTTTCCTTTTCTCTCTCTTTTTTCTCTGTTATGTGCTGCTTTGTTTCTCTCTTCCTTACAAACCCCATTTAAAACATTCTTCTTCGTTCTTTCACACTCTGTATATCTCGACCTTTTTGTTACCGCTCACACGCCAGTAAATATGCTCATATCTACTTTTCTAACACCATGAAACATTCTGTTCAATTTTGGCTTTGCTACCGACATATGACAATATGTTGTTGTCATAATGAACTGAGATTACTCTTAATCTATGTAGAATTCTATTTATTGTTAATGTACTAACTGCATGCGCAATACTGTATGTAGTAAAATGCTGAGAATTCTATTCTGTATCACAAGTACTGTTTTGGAATAAAGCAAATTATTATTTGTATATACGTATATATATACTACTGATAAATCTTATTAGTAGTATACGCCACACTCGTCCCCTGCATCAAATAGGTTTGAAAGGAACCGTCCACACCTTCCTGGTTCCACTCGTTCTTGTTGTACCTTAGTCCCAGCGTCATTATCCCGCTGAATCCGTTTCTGTAGTTGGCTGAAGTTAACCCGCTTCTGCTTCAATAAAACATCTCCATATTGTTTTATTTTCTGCTAACGTCATCAGCTTGCTAGCTTTACGATTGCCCATAATCTCTAATGTCTTACATGTCATTCTCTCACCAACAACCCACTCATCGCTTCCCATTTGGATATTCCACTCGAGCGAGATGACTTGCATTGAGCGCGATGTCATTCAACGACCTCCTCAACGTATGCCCGATCCATCCATCTCCATTTGCTCCTACATGTTTGTTGAGCAATTGGCTCCCGTCTGTTGGTTTGTTCCCAGCCAGAGTTTCTTGTCGCTGATGCTTGCATATGTAACTAGGCATAGGCGTTTTATTACCACCAGATGGTAAATTGTACTTCAAACTACAACTACTTCAACACTATGGCGTACCTCAAGTCTTTGTCAACCTCATTCAACAACTGGCGGCGGCTGGCTATATGACAATCCCACGTGTCAAAATGATCCACAACAGAAAACTCAGTGAGGCGTTCGAAGTGCATACGGGAGTAAGATAAGCCTGGCTGCCTATTATCATCGATGGATGATCTTAATTGTGGTGGACTGATTGGATTATACGTCAGACTGTGAACAGGGAGCGAGGAGTTCGGAATACACTGGACGACCTATAAGAAGACTTCAGAAGATCTGGATTTCGCGTGTGGATGATATATATGTCTAATGTCACACAAACTCGAAGACTTTCAGACAGGCAGGCAGGCGAAAACCAACAAACTGGTTGAAGAGGCTGGCAGGCAGCGAAAACACAGGACTGCAGGTGAACATAGAGAAGACGGAGGTGACGAAATCTACAAGCACTAATCACCATCGAAGGGAGAGGCTTAACAGAGGTTACATCCTGGATTATCTGGGAAGCATCGTTTCAACTACAGACACGGAAGAGACAAAGCTGTCAAAGTTAGCCAGACAGAATCGGGAAGGCAAGATACGTGAAACTTCATCAACGTGAAACCAGTTTGGAAATCTACCGCACTCAGAGAGCATAAGGAACAAGATTCGGATTCCATTCAACACCAGAGTGAAGTCGGTTCTTCTATACGGGTCAAAAACTTGGCCAGAGTGTCACGAGAAGCATTCCCAACAGCCTGTTGCAGACTTTCATCAGTAGCTGCCTCCTTTGCTGGCTGACTGCATAATGAAGATCGAATGGCCAGAAAGAATAAGCAAGAAGAAACTATAGGAATAAACCAACTGAGTGGAGATAAGTCGATCATACATTAAGGTGGCCGCCGAATGACATTGCCCGCCAGGCAGTGCCTCGAGTGGAATCCAAACGGGAAGCGACGAGTGTGGGTTGTCAGTGCGAGGGTGGTGACATGGAGAGGAGATCGTTCGGCGAGGAAGAGAGAGTTTTTTGGTCAATCTTGGACCCAGCTGAAGAGGACAGGGGAAAACAGAACAAAGTGGAGGTGTGTTGTTGAAGGGAACTCTATGTTCCAGTTTATCTTGTATCGATGTCTCACTTAGCTCTACACTCGAAATTGCATTACTCCCAGCTGGATCTTCATTAAGTAGAGTATTGTTTTAAAAACATTTCAATTTAAAGTGATAATTTTTTTGTTTTTGTCTGGTTTAAACTTTCTAGTATTTGTGCTTACTATGTATGTGTTATTTTGCAGAAGTTGTGGCATTAGCCCAAGTATTACGTAATCTTCACAAGAAAACGAGAAAGGGAAGAAGAGGCGTGGTGAATTCTTATTGGCTTGAAGATGCTTCTTTCTTTACTCAATTCAATATATTGCTTGTAAAAGAAAGAGTACTCATATATATACGTCTCTCATTGTTATATAACTCTGGATGTTGCGTTGTCCCACCCCCCTCACACACACACATACACTTTGGCCTTGTGACCTACACATCCATACATACTCATACCTATATATATTTCATTGCTGCTGATATTTTCCATCCATACATACTTCATCTGAGAAAATAGTTTCTCTCTTGTTGATTTGTTTCTATTGCCGTGTAATTTTTTCCCAAATTCTATATACTACTTAAATTGATGAAATCAGTCCTATATAGATATACCTCTACATTACTTAAATTCTACTTTTCATTTTCTTTTGAAGAGGAATCATCACAGAGAGTGATGAGATCTCTTAAATTCTCTTAATTTTATTTCTATTGAGCTTTCTTTTTATTTTAACGAATAATTATTTCTGAAAAATTTTATTCTCAAATGCGTATGCCTAGTCGTTTTTTGAATGATTCTACTTGAAGTAAACTGGTGGAGCATTAGTGTGTTGACCTGACCGATCAGAGATGATAAATAAAACAATTGTTTGAGGCCAGTTATGTATATTTGACCTGCTTTTGAGTTGGTTTTTTTGAGTTATGTCTGTACAGAGGGAAGATCTTACCTTTGGTTAGGCAGGACCACTACAACAATAGTTCGCTGCATCCTTCTTTTGTAGCTGTGAGTGAGACATGGCCCACATTGAAAGTGGAAGACATGAAAAGGCCGGCTAGCTGTCTTTGGTCATAGGTGGTGTCTGCCTTCTATCTGCTGTGTGTGTTAGGTGGTGGTATAATAAGGTGAGCAATATTGAGGTTAGGCATCGGTCGACTGCTAGGTGAGTTGGAGGGAAAATCAATCGGCGAGGCTGTGGGGTTACATTGACTGAGATCGTTAGGACATGTATTACGCATGTATGCCTAGCCGTTGATTATAGGTTTCCAGACCGTAGGTGTTACGAATTTCCTGGAATAATTTGAGCGCCGAGTCAGATTGATTCATTATAAATTATTTAAATTAATCCCAGCGTGTTAAGAAAATCAAAACAAGATCTGTTTTCTGAACGTTTCGCTGTGTAAGCCACAGCTTCTTCATCAGATTTATTCGGATTATAATTAATCATCAAAATATATAGTCAAATATATATATATATATATAGACTTCATTTTATGTAAAAAAAATTTGACTATATATTTTGATGATTAAGTATAATCCGAATAAATCTGCTGAAGAAGCTGTGGCTTACACGGCGAAACGTTCAGAAAAATCTTGTTTTGATTTTCTAGCCATTGATTGCTTTCCTCGACCGATGAGTAATGTTAGCTGACATAAGGTCAGGTTGGAAAAGAGCTAGTCAGCGGCGGTCAAACCAAAACATGGCTTCACCAGTCAATGAAATCCACAACAGTTAGTTTAAACCAGCTACATACGAAGGTGTAGTCCTTCTGATTGGTTGGGGTCCTCGAGACGGCAAAATCCAATGGCTGGAAACAATCGGTGATATGGCCTCATATCCCTGTCTACTGTCTCTATTTTGCATTTCTTCTCTTGCTTTGTGTGCTACAAGGAGGGAGTGTGGTGTAACTTGAACTGCTTCACATCAGTGCAGCGTTCTATGTTGAAAAGAAACAGACTGATCCCAGTCATCAATCGCCTTCCGCGACAACGGTCAATGTTGGCAGACTGACATAGGATTGATTGATTGATCAGGTTGGAAAAGATGTGGTAGTGGTCAAACCAAAACATGGCTTCATCAGTCATTGAAATCCCTGACTGATTGTGTTCCTCTAGTAGGTAAGAACCAATGCCAGCTGGAGAGAATTTGTGATGATGATGATGAGACGGTGTCGTTAAATATGATAGAAAGGTGAAAAATTGTTATCAATACCTTAATGAACAGTATTCATACTATATTTAATCCGAACCCCTTTTCACCTCGATTTGAGTTTTTATGAAAGCTCTTCACCTATAGCTAGAGAGATCGAAATATACATGAATTTGGGTCTACTCAGACAAAGTACCACTGTTTGGATACTGACACACTCACGACTGAACGAAATATGCTACATCGCTTGTTCCTTGAATGATCCATTGATGTTGCTATCACCTCAATGATGACAATTTTGTCATTTGTGTTATATATTTCACACTACTAATTATTATTAAGTAGTTTAACTTGTAATAATAAATTATTTCGCTAGATGCGTCATGTTAAGCCATATTTATACAAGGTAATATGAATTAGGTTTCCTACCAACCGCTTCCAACTACCTAACACCAATTCACAGTGCATAGGGATTGTCAGTCGCCTAGCTTGGTGATCACACTGCAAAATTCACTCATCACAAAAACGAAGGACTAAATCCCTAGCATATGTTATTCCGTCATGAATAATCGATGTATCCATTGCAGACCTCCATGAGATCGTTCGTGAATCTGAATAGCTAAATCAGTGGTAACGTCTCTGTGTCTGGCATCAAGATATACAACCGTGTAACGGTACTTATGGGGACCAGTCATTTGAAATGATGACATTCAGTGGTATCGAACAGTGATGCCTATTTTTGCTTAATTTCACTATAAATGAACTGATGAATGTGACCCCAATCAACCTAGGGACTTTGAGTATTCAGATTATTTTATCTTCCTAGGTGAGGACGCTGATAAAATACAGAGTCTTCTGAACACCTTGAACAGAAGTTTACGAATGTTTGACATACTATTGGTTCATGTAATATGATAGTTCAGGACTGTTCTCCACCACCGACCGGCTCCTAGTTTGAAGGTAGGGAATGAAGGAGATGATTGGTGACAAAATCTTAGTATGGATAGAAAAAGTTCGTTTGGCACTTGCTAACTTACGTCACCTCCAGAGTTAAACATGATATCTGACTATCAAATAAACATTGAATTAGCTGTGTTCTCGAACACTTCAAACACACTTTAGCACTCCAATGTTGAAGAGAATAGAGGAAAAATGCCTACTAACCGTCTTGAAAATGAAATGGATATTCCTGCGCCACAATTTCATCGAAAATTGTTTAAACTCGAGTCATAACGCCAACAAGAGACCATCATCAAAGACTACAAGAAACTTCATTATACCTTATATAAAAAAATATCTCTGAAATAACAGCTAGAATATTAACACCATTTTAAATAGATATATCACACAAACCAGTCGAATCACATAATTCAATATTGTACAAACCCAAAAGATCCAACAGAAAAAGAAGACAAATTTAATACCATATACAAAATAAATTGTATAAGCTGTAACAGATATTACATCAGTCAAAGTGGGCGTCCCCCTGCATTCTGCCTATTATTCTCTATTGTTCCCCCTTAGTTTTTCCTAGGCTGGCTACTGAAGAAAGACTATACCTTATTACGCAGGATGTTAAAGGTTGTCAGCAGGGTGGTAAGCAATGTTCCACTTAACCAACCAGCTTGTTAAGATTCTGGTCAACAGGCACTTGGACTCACTCATGTGAAAAGTGGGCTAAATCCATTTTATCTATCTAACTCACACGACCACCCTCTTCATTCACAACTCTCCGCTTGTATGTCATCAGTCAGGCAGACCAGAAGCCTATATAGAAAACGATATGCTTGCACTAACAACTACAAAAACTCAACCATGCCCTCCCTACTTAGCTCGTGTTCTGTACGATAAAGAAAGCATTAGGCGTCAAACATATAACTTATTAATAGTCAGTAGAACAACTGGATCTCGTCTATCCAACTCATATCATTTTTAGTTACAACGCTTTTCTTTCTTTCTTTTCCTTTTCGCTTTTTTTGTTGTTATGTGCTGCTTTGTTTCTCTCTTCCTTACAAACTGTATTTAAAACATTCTTTTCGTTCTTTCACACTCTGTATATCTCGACCTTTTTGTTACCGCTAACACGGTAGTAAATATGCTCATATCTACTTTTCTAACACCATGATACATTCTGTTCAATTTTGGCTTTGCTACCGACATGCCAATATGTTGTTGTCATAATGAACTGAGATTACCTTTAATCTATGTAGAATTCTATTTATTGTTAATGTACTAACTGGATGCGCAATACTGTATGTAGTAAAATTCTGAGAATTCCATTCTGTATCACAAGTACTGTTTTGGAATAAAGCAAATTATTATTATTATTCTAACCCATGAACACAAATTTACTTGTTAAAAGACATGTAATATACTCTATCATATCATTGCATGTGGATAATTATGGACACCGATTTTCGATGATTGGGATAATTTAGACATTTTGAATAGAGGAAACACCAAAAAATGCAGTCGAGGAATGCCTAGAAGCCTGGTACTCAACTCGATCAGCCAGTGACTAATAAACACACCAGTTACTTTTGGACCAAATGTACCAGCCAATAAAAAAATAAATCACATGAAAGGTAAGTTTAAATTCCAAATCAATAAAAGTGATCAATAGAGACGTAAATCAAGAATCAGTTACGGCAGTGTTCGCCAGGAGATACAATTATATCATTCATGGAGAATATAAAATAAATCCGTTTTATACCTAAACCTACGCTGAAGATGTTGTCTGGAAGGTGGATAACGGAAGCTCCGCAATTAAATTCAGCTAGCTCCACATAGAACGCAACTAATTCAATATCAATCACCTGAGCTACAAGTCTTCTACATTATCGAATAAACAATGTATGCACTGAGCAACAATATGGTCCATCCTTCATTATGCCTGTGACATTTGAACCATTGAAAGTAGAAGCTATGAAACGATTAACTGTCTTTGACAACAGATATTTGAGTTTTATCATTCGTATTATGTTGTATGATATGATGAGTTGTTATGTACTCGTCGCTAAATTATTGTTATGGACTGGTCGAGAATTTAATAGTCCTGACGCAAGAAGGCGGAAATCAGAAGACCAC